CCTAGGCATGTTATTTGGGGTTCTACATTGCTTTGTTTGTAGATGCCCTCTCTTTCCCTGGATTTGAGAGTTTTCTGCCCTATTTCTCGCTGAATAGGTTTTCTGTACCTTCCATATTCTGGCCCTTTTCCCACCCACCGGTTCTCATATTCGGTTTTGTGGCTGTGCCTCAGAATTCCCGCAAACTGTGGCCATGCTTATTTGTGCCTTTTGTTTGTCTCTGAATGTAATATTTTTCCTACTGCTTGCCCTAGTCTATTGGTGGTCCCTCCTTTGCACTGTGCTCTATGGGATATACTCAGGGTTTTTGTTTCCGGCATTCCTGTTCAGCTGGTGTTTTGTTGGTTGCTTTCGGATGTTCAGCTTTCTTGTTGAACTCCTCCTCCTCGGTGTTGCTGACTTTCCTGCCCAGGTTCTCAGGTGCCTTCTTACTTCTTGATCTGCTTGTTTGAATCCACTTTGATGACACTTAATATTTTTTGATTAATAGTTTGGCATATTAACTATTTCCATATCTTTGATTTAGGAGTTGAAGAGGCATGGTCTTTTGGAGGAGTTACAATGCTTTGCTTTCTCACGTTTCTTATGTTTCTGAGCTGTGATTTGCTCATCTGTTGGGGTATTTGTCTCTTTCAATTTTATTTTGGAGTTTTCCCAGCCTTTCTCTTTGAGGGTTGAATCCCAGGTACCACTCAGAGAAGAGAAAACAAACTGCTACAACAGCAGCAGCACCAAACCAAACCAGACAAGGAAACATAGTTAAAAATCAATTAAAGCAAACTGCCACGCCACCAATAACCCTAGAAAAGAAAGTGGCAAAAATGATGTAGCTAGAGTAAGTGGTGAAGGTAAAATGATTAGATGATAAAGTATGGGTATAATAACAGTAAAGAATGAAACAAAGGAAGGGGACAGGAAAGGGAGAAAGGAAGCTTAAACAAAAGAAAATAAGGAGAAGGCAAAGAAGATGAGGAAGAAGGAGGGAGCGAGAATAAAAATCTGAACAAGAAAGATTTTTTAAATAACATTCAATAAAGGTCAAGGAGGTTGAAAAATGCAAACACTTTTAAAAAGTAAAAAAACCTAGAGATCTGAGTTTTATTTCTGGAACCTACACAGAGGTGGACTAGAAAGCCAGCTCCACGAAACTGTCCTCTGACCTCTACACGCATATCTTGGCACATGTGCCCATGCGCACACACTAATAATTTGTAAAGACTTATTTTAATTTGTTAATTATGTGTATATGTGTGTGTGTGTGTGTGTGTGTGTGTGTGTGTGTGTGTGTGTGTGCAGGTGCCCAAGGAGGCCAGAAGAGGGAGCTGGATCCCTGAAGCTAGAGTGACAGGTGGCTGTGAGCTGCCCAGCATGAATTCTGGGAGCTGACCCTGGACCCTCTGCAAGAGCAGTATGTGCTCTTAACTGCTGAGCCATCTCCCCAGCCTCCAACTCTTCTGATCTTTTTGCAAATTTTGTAACAAACATACATGCATGTTTGCAGCCCCCTCTGGGGGAGGAGGGCCAGAGCGGGGACGAAGGCTCATTCCCGTTTCCCTGTACAGCTTCTTCCTCCATCATTTCTCTCAGGAATCCTGCTGCTCTTCTCTCTTCCTCTTTGGAATAAAATCCACCTTCTGTTACTGTGACACCTTTCATTCACAGTCACACACAGGCAGCGTCTAATGTGTCACCTTACTCAGAAGTCTAATTTTCAAGAGATCTTGATTTTTTTTTTTCACAAAATTTCTCCCTGAGTGTTGGGGAAAACCGACATCCTGTCTGCACTTTCTCACTTCAGTCACCGAGGGAGCCTGTGACCTTGGAGAGGCGTGGGTGGCTCCAACATCAAGCAGTTCTGTGGCTGTAGCCACCAGCAGGGCATCCCCCAAACCAAGGAGGCTCTGACACTCTCTATCTAGAGGTGGCCTCCATTTCCACAGGCTGGGGCTCAGCCCCCAGGCTGCCTAACCCCCCCATTAGATATTGTCACAACCCCAGCTGTCATGCCCGGTCCCCTGGCCAACAGTCACAGATCAGGACTCCCACAGCTACGTCCTCATCTTCACTTCCTCTCCTCAAGCAGCTAAGGGAACTCAGGGGAAGACTCTCTTGAGAAGATTCATTTGTTACAAAAGCTATTGCAAAGCATACAAGTGAGAATGAGTAGAGAGAGGTGTAGGGAAGGAAGGAAGCATCCATGCCCTTTCCAGGTACTCCCAATCTCCAGAAACTTCTCTGTGTTGAGCTATCAAGGAAGCTCTGTGAACTCTGACATTTCTGGTTCCTGTGCAGACGCAGACTCTTGTTGTTCGAATCTTAGATGGTCTTTTAATAAAATAAAAATAAAAAAAAACACTCAGAGCCAGAGATCAGGGTGAAAGCTGAAAGATCAGAGAAGCAGAACAGCCAGCCACTAGCTCTTACCTCTCTACAAAATCCTCAGCCTCCAGAGAGTGAGTTCCCGTTTCCTCATGCCTTATATACCTTCCTCTGCCCTGCCATATTACTTCATGGGATTAAAGGCCGTGTGTGCTTCCCAAGTAAAGGCATGAGATCTCAAGTGCTGTGATTAAAGGTGTGTGCCACCACTGCCTGACCTCTATGTCTAATCTAGTGACTGGCTCTGTCCTCTGATCCTCAGGCAAATTTATTAGGGTATGCAATATATCACCACAGACTCTATTTCATGCAATGGTCTGACTTGGGGAGCATCAAGGACTGTCTGCTCAGGTGCTTCCTGGCCTCTATGCTCAAGTGTGCATGCATGGGTGTGTGTGTGTGTGTGTGTGTGTGTGTGTGTGTGTGTGTGTGTGTGTGTGCAGCATTCTTCCCTCCAGGGCATTGGGCAAGAACTCTGTAATAAGGTGGATCATATGATCCACCATGGGACAAGGCAGGTCTGAGGGTCTCTATGCTCCAAGACAAAAAGGCAGGGGAAAACGAGGATTTCTGCAGCCTGCCTTGGGGAATGTGATGATTCATCCTTGCTGTTAACTTGGCACATCTGGGAACAGGGACGCTCAACTGAGGAACTGCTTCCATCAGACTGGCCTATGTGCATGTCTGTGGGGGCATTTTCTTGATTGCCAATAGATGTGGGAGAGCCTAGCCCACTTTGGGCAGCACCATACCTAGGCAGGTGGGCCTGGGCTATGTAAGTAAGGTAGCTCACTGTGAACCTTGGAGAGGGCCAATAAGCAGTGTTTTTCCACGGTTTCTATTTCAAGCTCCTGCCTTGAATTCCTACTTTGGCTTTCCTACATGGCAGACTGTAACCTACAAGGTGAAATTAACCCTTTCCTCCCCAAGTGCTTTGGTCATGGTGTTTATCACAGCAGCAGAAAGTTGCCCAGGCCATGAAAGATAATTCTAGATTTTGTGCCCTACCTTGGGGGGAGGGGCCTGTGAGCAATAGACAAAAGGTGTCTATTGTCACACCACGCACTGCTTGCAGCATTCAGGGAAGCCATGTCCTCTTCTCGTTCTGATTACATCAGTCTTCACTCTTGGTTTAGCGTGAGTCCATGTTCGCCTGTTTGCAGGTGCCCATGTGTGTGACTTAGAGGCCACAGGTCAACGTCGGGTGGCATTCTTCAGGAGGACACGGTGTTCCTTGAAACACTTACCTCTCACTGGGACCTGGAGCTCACTGATTAGGAAAGGCAGGTTGACTAGCCAATTGTAGGAATCCACCCCTCCCTGCCTCCCTAGCATTGGGATTACAAGCGTGCCTCACCACACCCTGTTTTTTATGCGGGGACTATGACTTGAACTCGGGTCCTTGCACTTTCCATGGTGAGCACTTTACCAACTGCGCTGGCGCCCTGGCCCTGCGAGAGTTTAACCTGATGTTTCTGTGTTCAACCTCTGGCTTCCCCACGTAGCTGTTTCTCCGTTGGACTGGGTAGCAGGTTGAGTGGTTTTTGTCCCTGTCACATCCAGAGCTTTGCCTGGTGTGACTTGTCTTCCAGACTCTTCACTGCTACCCCAGTTCCAAAGGTTAGGGAGCCAGGACCACCCCTTCCCTCCAAATGGAGGAGATGGCGCTGAGTGTGCTGGACCTGTGTGCCCCCTGCTGCTGGCATAGCCCTGTGTTTTCCGTTCCCTTGTCCTTCAGCTCCTGGCTTCCAGAACATGATTGCTGTTGCTCCCTCTTTTTAATCTCCTAAATATAGTTTTAGAGGAGGGACTTCTGCGTGGTTTTTTTTTTTTTTGAAATCGCAAAATCAGATTCAATCCAGTGTATTAACAAGAGGCTCTCGCAGCCGTGCCTATAATAAGCTGTAAGTGGTATATTGATTTCATAGGACAATTTCCTGCATCACAGGAAAGTGGGAGGGGGGACCTCAGACATCTACCCCTACAGATGCTGCCCAGCCATCAAATGCATGCAGGCAGCTGTGCCCAGCTGCACTGGCCTCTCGCCAGCCCCACCCAACAGCACCCTGAGTGGGTAGGAACGGGTTCTGCAAATCACAGCACACACTTGTGTGGCAATGACCCTCATGAAGCAGACAGGGAGCTGGTTGTCTGGTCTCTGTTGTGGAACCTTATACACGTTGGCTGTCTTAGGGTGGAAACGTGGCCTCCGGTCAAAACTCATGGTGACAGAGAATTAGAGGGGATGATGTCCTAAGCTGCCTAGGCTCCATGGGAAAGGTGGCTTTAGCCAGAGGCCCTATGAATGATATCCTGAACACAGGCCTGGGAGTGGGCTTTAAAAATGGACTAAGATTTGGATAGAGCAAGTGGGATTGGAGCTCCAGGGAAAGACAAAGGGGTAGCAAGGGCTGGGGAGCAAAAACAGTGCTTGTGTTCTGAGGCTCTAAGCCCAGCATCAGAAGACGGCCCATCTCAGGCTCCCTTAGCCTGTGTTCTATCCAAAAGATGGCTTGGTAAAGACAGTACATGTGGAATTGCCCAGCTCGGTTGGTACACGCCACTCTCACCCTGTTCCAACTGTCCCCACTCACCCTGACTACGCTTACTCCCCCACCCAGGAACTGGATGACATATACCAAGATGCAGCCAGCAATGTGTTACTGGCCGTCTGTTGGCATTCATGGCCAGCAGTGGCCAAACACTTGGAAACGGAGCTCCTGACGGGTGTCTTCCCACACCGCAGTCTGTTGTATGTGATGGGCGTCCTGTCCTCTCAAGGTATGTGCTGCCGTAGGATGGGTCGGGGGCCTGGCAATGGAAGGAGACTGCGAAGGGCCTCTGGGACCACCCCTCCCCATGGCCATAGCTACACACGGGCCATGCAGTCTGCAGCCCTAAGGCCCTGCAGTCCGGCCAGCCCTCTCAGCAGCCCTGAGCTCCATGCCCCATGAGCCTTCAGCAGCCCTGGCCATGCTAGGGACCTTCCCATGGAGGGGGAAAGGGCCTCTGCACCACTGTCTGATAGATTCACATTGTTGTTGGTCCAGGAGTTGGCCCAGACCCTGTGAAGTTGCCAGTCTGCCTTGACCCTTTCATATAGCAGCTGTTTCATTGGCCCCCCTCCCTTGGCCACACAAGGAAGATGAGAATCCCAGCTCAAAGAAGTAGTGTTGATGGCCAGGGTCACCCAGGCTGCCTCACCTCGGACCCTCAACTTCTGCCTGCTGTGATTCATTCATTCATTCTTTTCACACGCATCACACCCTTATACCTACCCAGGTGGGAAGGTGCTAGCCTGTGACAGGGGACCAGCTGCCCAGAAGGCCACTGTAGGGCTACCCAAAGGGCTTCCTGTAAGAGGCAGCCAGTATGAGCCACATCTAGCCAGGCCTTCGGAGCAGCAGGTCAGCAGCTGACAAGTTCAGGCAGAGGGAAGAGGGCGGGGCTCCAAAGATGTTCTGGAGAGTTTGTGCTCAAGCCTGGGACCAAGCAGGATCTTGCTTAGCTCACCCCGCCCTTCTTCAAACTAGTAGGCTGGGGGGGGGGGTCCCTTCCAATGCAAAGGGACCCCCAAAGGCCTTCCCTACATGGTAGAATTTCCAAATTTCCCAAAAGGCTTTTGAGCCCCACAAAGTGTCCCTTCCCAGCCTTATTTTCCCATACTTGAAAGGACCACAGCACATCCCAAAGGGCCATGCTTCAAAAGGCCCCTCCATTTACTAGTGGAAAACAAGATTGAGAGAAGGCAAGCAGCCTGCCTGGGCACAGCATGCAGGGAGTGCCAAGGTTCCAGTCCAGCTCTCTGGACCCTTGATCCCCATGCCAGCTCATGTTCTTCCTGCTGGAGACTGTCCTGCCCTATCCCATTCTCTGTGGATCCCACCAGGCAGGAGTAGGCTGGTGTCTGTCTGAGGGGCGTGTGAGACCTGGCCTGTAACCCGTCCCCTTCTCCCACAGAGGAGCTTCTCAAGAAAGAAGACAGAGAGAGCTGGAAAGATCTACTGTCCCAGGTACAGAGGGAGCCTGTTACCCCCAGACCTTCTGAGGGACATCACTGAGGGAGAGACAGGAAGTTCACATGGGAGACCCCGCTGTGGTCTTGGAGGAAGAGAGGAAAGGTGGGAAGATAAAGGCGTGGGAAGGAGGAAAGGGAGATGGGGATGGCAGGGGCTGTAGACAGAGAATTCCCACTTAGAGATAAGCACACAGCATAGGGGCAGGGGTGGCTTGACCAAGGTCACTGGAGGAGCCAGTATTTAAGTCATGGTCACTAGACACTCAGCACAGAGCAGATGCTCAATACAGACAAACTCTTGCCACTCACACTTAGGGGACCAGAAAGGGCACAGGAGCCAGAGTGAAGACCTAGAAAGGACAGAGAGAGGCTGGGGTCGACTGTGACAACACCAGAAGCAGTTTCAGGGCAGGCCTATCTCTGACCCTCTCCCAAGTGAGCAGCTTGTACTGGGTTCGAGTCCAAGGTCAACTACTCACAGTGTGGCCTGGGCTGACTTCCTTTGCCTCTCTGCGGCTTAGTTTGCTCCTCTGTGAAATGGGGTTAGAGGTGGTTGTGAAGGGCTTCCCCCCCCGCACCCCCCCCACCCTGGCATTGGTCATCAGCACTGTGGCAGGCAGCAGGCAGAGAAGCTGGAGTGGGTTGGGGGGATGTAACAGAACAGCAAGGATTGAAAGACCAGAGACGTCACCAGCCACGTTCATCTGATTGGCATCCCTTGCCGCTATGAATAGGACTTGCCTCCCTCCACCACACGCTGGCTGCCTATCAACATCCCATAAATTTCAAGGGACTGAAACCAAACAAGACTTTCTATGACCAAACATAAACTAGAGGTCAGTGTTAAAATATAACTGAAAATATTCCAAATGCTTGGAGATTAAACAACTCACTTCTCAGTAAAACGTAGGGGAAAGACATCTGAAGGAAAATTAAATTAGAAAATATTTTTTAGTGTTAATGAAAACACATTTGAACATCCTGAGGTACAAAACGCTTTTTTTGGGGGGGTTTTTTGAGACAGGGTTTCTCTGTGTAGCTTTGCGCCTTTCCTGGAACTTGCTTTGGAGACCAGGCTGGCCTCAAACTCACAGAGATCCGCCTGGCTCTGCCTCCCGAATGCTGGGATTAAAGGCGTGCGGACACCACCGCCCGGCAACAAAACGCTTTTTATATTAGAAAGGGTATAAAACTTCATGGTTGGAAGCTACCAAGAGATAGCAAACTAAACCCAAAATCAACAGAAGGAAGAAAAAAAATTTCACTCAGAATTCAGAGGCAGGAGGAACGCCCTATGCATGAGGCCAGTCTGGTCTACGAGGCAGGAGAAATGCCCTATGCATGAGGCCAGCCTGGTCTACCTAGCAAGTACAAAGAAAGGAGAGCAAGTTCCTGGGAAAGGTCACTAGACTGGGTAAGAGGGAGAAATGTCACTTTCAGCAAAGAATAATTAACAACAGCACAAACACATTGTGTATGAAAGGATTCCCTGCAAAACACAGACTATCAGAACTGGAACAAGAAGAAACAGAAGGTCTCAGTAGTCCTGCGTCTACTAAAGAAATGAGAATCTATGTGGAATCTTCCTGCTCCAAGCCAAGCCTGTTTTGCCAGCTCTGCAGCGAGCAGGCCAGCCACTGAAAGTTCATGCTTGCAGAAGAGTAAAGAACTTATTCATTGGCTGCCTAGCAAGTGGACACAGGAAAGCAGGTCTGAACTCCACCAACCCGGCCTGGGGAGAAGCGACTGGGTCACACTTCATCCCAAGGCACATTAGGTATCACCACAGTCAGCTGACAGTGACTAAGCAGGTGTGGGGGGGGGGCAGGGAGTCTATTTGGGACATTGGGTGCCTTGTTCAGGTTCCCCCACGCCCGAGTTTTGCTTCCAGCAAAGAAAACTCCCAGTTCTGCTGGGAGGAATCCTGTGCAGTTCTGCAGAGCCCGCACATGCCTACAAAAAGTGCACAGCAGCCATCTTGCTCCAGCCTCAAACTGGAGACACCTAGGGCTGGCAGAGCCATGTCTCCAGCTGGAGATCTGAACCCATGACTCAGTGTCCACCTTACGAAGCCAGACAAGGAGAACCCTCCTGAACTCAAAACAATCAAAAACAACCAAATTATACTTTAAAAAAAAAAAATGAAGTTCTGGTGCAGGCAGCAGCATGGATGGATCTCAGAAATACTCACACTTAGTGAAAAAAACATCAGGTACACAGAAGCACACAGCAAAAGACTATAAATATGTACAGCACCAGAAATTCCACTGATTTATCATCATCATGAATTAAATATATTTTTTAATTTATTTATATTTTGTGGATATGGGTGTTCGGCCTTCATGGATGTTTGTGTATGCCATGTGTGTGGTATCTTCAGAGACCAGAAAATGGCAATTGATTCCCTGGAATTGAAGTGACAGATAGTTGTGAGTCACCATGTGGGTGCTGGGAACTGAACCCAGTTCTTCTGGAAGAGCAGCCAGTGCTCTTAACCAATAAGCAACCTCTCTGATCCATATATATTCATGTGTGTTTATGTGTGATATGTGTGTGCAACATGTGTAATATATATGTTACACATTTATATGTGCACACATGTAATATATGTTGCACATATTCTATATTACATAATATATTACATATATATTATATGGTCCATATATATTAATTGGCAATAAATAGGCTTCAACATTTCAAATATTTAGTTTTTTCTAAGTATAATGGTGCCTGCCCTGTCTAATCCTTAGCTGCTCTGAACCAAATGTATAGCACACTCACAGACAGAAACACCAACAATGCCTCTGCTGCTGAGACAGTCCGGTATGCACAAATCCCATAACCCATGCCACATCCACTTGGGTCAAGCTGGGCCATGAGGAGACTGCAGAGCTATAGGGAAGAAAACGTTTAATTTTCTGAGTTTTGAAGTTTGCATTGCAGACAAGAGGCTCTGGTACTAGCACAGTGAGCAGACAGAAGAGAGTGGGAGACAAGGCAGGAACACACACACACACACACACACACACACACACACACACACACACACACACCTGCTTCCGGGTAACCTGGAGGCTTCCCAGCAGTCATAGTGCTCTGGGATTGAGCTGGCATCTGTTCTGTATCCTAGAAGGCAGGGAGAGGACCAAGAGCAGGGCCCAGGCCAGACAAGCAGGCTTTAATCAGATTCTGCCATCTGTGGAGAGCAATTGCCATCTCAGTAATGGGCGAACCAAGTAAGGCTAGGGATGACACAGACATTCCTACCTACAGGGGGCGCTCTAAGTTAGTCTTCTGCCCTGCAAACAGTCCCCTTTGGGTTCACAGTGTCTCTAGGACTTCTTTGGGATAAATTCCTAAAAGTTTAGTTGCTTAGACAAATGTATTTTAGGTTTTAATTGATGTCAATTTTTTTTAACTACTGTTGCCAAAACTTTCACACATACACACACAAAAAGCTGTCAATTCAGTCACCCCGCCACCAAAGAATGCTTCCTTTCAGTTACAGATCTGTTAGGCATTCTCAGTGCTGTGCACACAGGGCCTTGGTGAAGGTAAGAGACGGTACTCCCAAGCCGTATGGGACTGCTGCCTGCTGACGCTTGTACAGCGACTTCTTTTATAAGCAAGAAGTATACTCCAATAATGATCAAAGGAGTGGATGCATACGCCAGCAACAGAGTCATTTATCATGATCAAGGACTACACAGCTCACCATAATTGTGTGTGTCGGGTTTGACAGGTCTGGTGGCACATAAGCCTGTTCCCACCAGCGTCTCGCCACATTACCACAAAAAAAAACATGTGAGCAAAGACACTACAACATAGGCAATAGAAATCTCCCAGATCCATTTAACTTAACAGGACCAGATTGTCTATGGTCCACAGTTGATGGAAATGACATTATACATCCGGTCTTTATGCAATCTTGGCCTAAGTTATGTATTACTTATTTCCATTTCTTTAATATTCATTATTTACTTGGGGGAGATGTGTGGAGCATTACATGAGTGTGTGTGTGTGTGTGTGTGTGTGTGTGTACACGCCCATCTGGACATCAGGTCTCTTTCTCTATTGCTTTCTGCCTCGCTGTCTTGAGGATCTTTAACTGAACCCGAAACTCACCGTTTCGGCAAGGCTGGCTGACTAGCAAGCTCCCAGAATCCCCCTGGTTTCACTCCCCCGACCGCCAGTGCTAGGAATACAGACACATGCAGCAGTGCCTGGCTTGTTTGTTTGTTTGTGTTGCTGTGGTTTGTTTTGTGTTTTGATGTGGGTGCTGAGGATTCAAACTCAGGTCCTCAAGCTTGCCCAGCAAGCTCCCTTAGCCACTGAGCCACAGCCTCAGCCTCCACTTTCCACTTCTTAACTATCTGACAGGTTGAGTTTATGCCACCTTCATCCTATGTCATTCCCTTTGTCATTTTCAAATGGGTTGTCATAGTTACTTTCCAGTTGCTGTGAAGAGACACTATGACCAAGGCAACATATAAAGGGAAACATGTATTTGGGGGTCAGCGTGCAGTTTCAGAAGGTCCGTGACCATCATGGCGGGGTGCATGGCAGCAGGCAGGCACACATGGCCCTGGAGCCATTGCTGAAAGCTTACATCTGGTCCCCAAGCAGGAGACAGAAGAGAGAGAAAACTGGAAATGGTGTGGGCTTTTGGAACCTCCAAGCCCATCCCCAGAGACACACCTCCTCCAAAAAAGCTATACCTCCTAATCCTTCCTAAATAGTTCCACCAACTGGGGACCAAGCATTCACATACATGAGCCTATGGGGACAATTATCATTCAAACCACCACATTCCACTCCCTGGTCCCCACAGGCTTGTAGCCATATCGTAATGCAAAATGAATGTAATCCAACTCCAAAAGACTCCATAGCTTTTCACAGTCTCAATACTGTCGAAAAGTCTAAAGTTCAAAGTCTCTTCTGAGACTCAAGGCAATCTCTTACTTGTAACCTTTGTGAAATCAAAAAGCAAATTACAGAGTTCCAACATACAACGGCACAGAATATACATTACCATTCCAAAAGAGAGGAAAGGAACATCTTATTCTCAACGGTATCTTTCAACTTCATTTATGTTTATTGAACAAACTTCTTTGAACATTTATCAATATTTTCTAAGACTGGGGGGTGGGGTGGGTAAGAGGATGTCCCTAACACCAGAAGAATGTTGGGAACAAAAACCTCAGACTTGTTGACTTGTGGAATCTGGGAACACTGGAAATGAAGATCCCATCATTACAGCCAACCTACTGAATTAGGGTGGGGACTCCCAGAATCCTATATCTAGAAAGACGTTGCATTTATTCTTGAACGCTCATGTCACTAGGAAATAGTGGAGCACCTACCACAGGCTGCCACCCTGCCAGGCACTGGGAACACACTTCAGATGGAACAGTCCTGCCTGTGATGCCCGCCCTGTCTCAGGGCCACTTTCACTAACACATCTGGTCTGAGCCCTCAGCTCATGCTGGGAATACAGCCTCCCAGGCTTGTAGGTATCCTGTACACATCTGGGGGTACCTTGAAGAATGTGTTCCCCATCTCTGAGGTCCATCCAATAAGCGAAAGAGCTGAGTCCTGGAAACCCGGGGGATAGGGGGTTGGGGGGTGTTGGAGTCAGGGCTCTCCGGCTGGGGGTTGAGGGGAGTGCCTCCATCCCTGCCTGCCCCACCTGCTCACAGATGGCCAGAAAGTCGGTGCCATTCCTGAACACAGATGTGTGGTCCAAGGAATTGCTGTGGAGCCTTACCAAGTCTAGCCGGACGCAGCAAGAGCACACCCCAGAGAAGGTAGGCCTACTGCGCCCAGGGACCCCAGCCTGTTCACCACACAGGCCCATGGGTTCTGTCATAGGATACACGGGGCGGGGGGCTGGGGAGGGCCTGAAAGAAATTGGTGGGGCTAAAGGGAGCAGGAGCTAAGCCTGGGCAACTGGCCTAGAAGTGTCTCCCTCCCTCACCACAGGCTGGGGTTTAAGGCCACCCTGGGGCAAGATGGGGGAGGGTAGCCATAGGGTCAAGAAATTCAGGGAAGTTGGCTATAGGAGCTCAAGGCAAGTGGATCCCTGGGTCCCGCTCAGGACAGGATGTTGAAACCCACCAGGCCTTCCTGTTCACCTACTATGGGCTAATCCTTCAAGCTGAGGAGGACAGCAGCAGCATCAGGACACACCTCAAAAATCTCTTGGAAACCTCTCACCAGTGGCCTAAGCAAAGGGAGGTGAGGATGGGGGGGGGGGGCGCGGGGAGGGGAGGGATGGGAGGTGAGGACCCAAGCGGGGTGGGGGATGGGAGGGAGGGGAGGGGAGGACCCAAGCAGGGGGAGGGGGAGGGGAAGGCCCAAGCAGTGGGGGAGATGAGGGCCCAGTCTCTTTTGATCTTCTAACTGCCTAGCCCAAACCACAGATTTGAACATTTTCACATACTGAACCCTAATCCTGGTCATAAAGTGACTTGTGCTGGTCACCTACTGATCCCTGATCTTCATCACACACTGAGCCCTGATCCTCATCACACACTGAACCTTGATCCTGTCTGCACTGAGCCCGGACCCTGGTCATGCTCAGCCCTGTCCCTAGTCACAAAATGAGCCCTCGACTTGGTTTCACTTTGAACTGTGATCATCACACACTGATCGTTGGTCCTGCTCACACACTAAGCTCCTATCCTCATCACACGCTGAACCTTGATCCTATCATAGACAGACCCCTGATCCCCATCACACACTGAACTTTAATCCTGTCACATATCAAGTCCTGACCCTGGTCATACACTGGTCTCCTAGTCTGGTCACATACTGAGTCCCCATCCTGGTTATACACTGATCCTTTATAATTCTCATACAATGGGTTTTCATTCCAGTCACACTCTGAGTCCCGATGCTAGTCACAACCTAAGCCCTCATCCTGGCTACATGCTGAGCCCCTGATCCTATTCATGGGCTCCAATCTTAATCATACTGTCAGAGGCCTCATCCTGGTCGCACACTGAGCCCTGGTGCTGCTCACAATCCGAGACCTGACCATGAACACACACTGAGGCCTGATCCTTGTCATATACTAAGCCCAGATCATGGTCACGGACTCTAATCCTAGTTACATGCTGAGCCTTCATCTTGGTCACATCCTGATCTCTGGCCCTCATCACACAACTAGATCCTGATCCTGGTCACACCCTGAGTCCTGAGCCCTCAACCCTGAGCCCTGATCACAGCATGAACTGACTCTGTCACAAACCGTAATCTCAGTCCTGTCTTCTCGTACATATCTTCATTCCTACTCCTGAGCATGTCTGCTCAGAGCTGGCATGAGAGACACCCAAGCCCAAAGGCTTCCTCTCTACCTCTTTCCTCCACAACTCTACCCACCAGACTCCACAAGGGACACCTCATGGGTGGTGTCTCAGCTCTGAATTGAGCATCCTAAAATGTGTGTGAGTCCCTGCCCCCTGCTGGTGGGCTGGGGAGGCACTGAGTCCAGGTCCCAGACTCAGGGGACTCCGCCCACAGGGCATTGCTCTCACAGTGGGGCTGGTTGCAGTACGCCACTTGGATGACGCCTGGGCCATCCTAGAACAGTTTGGAAGGAGCACTCCCATCAAGTGGAGCCTGCAGAACTTGTCTCTGAAGGTATCAACTCAGGGCTCCTGGGGGTTCGGGGCAAGGGGCGGGAGGGACATCAAATCCCACACGGCCCAAAGGGAAGCATAATAGCTACTGTAGGGTTATGGTTGTCACTGAGGCAAGGATTTATTTGAAAAGTGAGACACTTGGCCTGAGAGCTGCTTGTGGACACTGGAGGGGACTCCATGCTTCTGCCATTTTGCTGCACCCTACATGATCCCCCTTGGAAGACACAGTGCCTGGGAACCTCGCCACTGGGATTCCTTGGTGGGGGAGGCCACTGGATGCTCTTGCAGGTCTGCACATGGTTAACCCTGCAACCTAGAGGGAAGGCCAGTGGCCTCCGACGGGTCTTCACATCTGGCGAGTGGCAGAACCGAGGTGCATGCCTCAGACTCTCAGAGGGTACCTGGCACTGATAAATAATATCACCATGCTAGTACTCTGGTGACATCTGAGGGGAGAGGTGACTCGGGGCCACACCCAAGCAGGAAATTCCATTTGGCCCATGACTGTCCCTCTGGATTGGAACATGATATTTCTAGGCCCCCAGAAGCCCACAAGGGTATGGTGTGCCAGACTCTGTTTCATACAGTAAGAAAGGGGGTGTCGGGCGGTGGGGAAAGGGCCATCACAGGAGACACCCCAACTCTTCCAGTTCCAACAGAACCAAGTGTCTCAGTAAAATCAGTCCAACCCCCTAAAAAGCCATTTCCACTTCTCATTTGGTTCTCATTTGGTGAACCAAGACCCTCTAGACACCCCCCTCTCCCACCTTGCTGGGATCAGGGTATGCCCCTCTTACCACTCCCCAAGTAGACTGGGCAAGGCCTGACACCGAATCCACCCCTACCCGGCCCCACGGCCAGAGCCTCGAGGATCTTCGGTGGAAATGGGCTGGCAGCACCATCCTCCTCTCCTACGGCCAGATGGCAGCCAAGGCCAAGAGCCACATCCTGCCGTGGGTGGACAACATCTTGTCCAGGATGATCTTCTACTTCCGCTTCAGCTCCTGGGTACAGGTTGCCCTACTCACCATCACCCCAGTCCTGCACCTCCCCGGCAGCAGAGCCGGGATTCCAGCTCCACCCTGCCCCAGTTGCAGAATCAGAGAGGCCCAAGGCCACCTTTGGCCTATGCCCACCTCCCCACTGCCCCCAACTCCTGGAATCACACACACACACACACACACACACACACACACGCGTGCGCGCGCGCGCGCGCGCGCACGCTCTTACAAAGCAAATGCTGGATTGTCACTTGGGGAAGGGTTGGATACGGAGAGGCCAAGGTTATGCCTGCCTCTTAAGGAGCACCATAGCCCAGGTTGTTGCAAGGGCCAGCAACAAGCCTTACCCATCAAGGCTGTAGCCACCACTCCAGAAACCCTCACAGGCCCCTCTCTCATGTTTTGACCAGGCTCACAGAATTCACGTGTTTAAAACAAGAGCCTGTGCCCCTTCCTAAAGTAAACCCCACTCATGAGCTCCCAGCCCAGTCGTCTCTGCCACATCCCTCTCACCCTGACCCAACTGCACCTGGAGATGGTGGCCTTGGCCTCCCTTCTTGCTCTCTCCCATAAGCTCCTGGGCTCTCAGCCTTATCTGTGCCCTGGGGCCTGACCTACACAGGATGAGACCCTGAAACAAAGCTTCCTGACGGCCATCATGATGCTGGTGGGGGCCATCAGCCGGAGTGAAGGTGCCCACAGCTACGAGTTCTCCCAGACTAGTGAGCTCCTGGAATGCCTGATGGTACGTGCCAGCCCCTGGGCATGGGGAGCCCTCCTAGGCAGAACCCCTCCCTCAGATCAGCAGCTTTTCCAGGCATAGGGAGCCCCCTTGCTCAGCCCATCTGGAAATACTCCATGTCCCCCAGTCTTTCTGGGACCCTCAGCAGACCAGGTATGCCCACATTGCAGCCAATGCCACTGAGGCCCAGAAAGGCTAGCACACTCCATTCTGCATGCTTTCTTGGCTCGGGTCCCAGACCAATCACTTAGGATCTTGACTTCCTAAATAGATCCTTTGGGACAGTGGGAAATGCACAAAAGACTGGGCAGTAGTGTCAGGGTCAAAGGGCATTGATTAAGACAGGCTGGCTCCTGTCCCATGCCTGGGACCCAGCAGCAAAGTGGAATAATTTCGAAGGAAGCAAGAGTCGGAGCAACCTGGAGCTGGTCCAGGGAGGGACAGGCAGCTAGTACTCAAACCTGGGCTGTCCAATTCCAGAGGCCACGCTGGCTCTCTAAGGGGGGACCAGGTCTCACTACCAGGTGGATAAAGACAGACAGCATCGTTGCCCGAGCTGCCTAGTGTGCTGAAATTCTGAGGTAGGGCTAAGATTTGGTATCAGAGGTGGAGTCAGCTAGGCCCGAACCTCTGCACCTTCTCCTGTGGCCTTACAGACACTAATGGAGAAAGAGCCGCAAGACACACTGCTCACCAGCATCCGCCAGCACGCCATCCACATCGTCGCCAGCCTTTGGTAGGTTACAGCCTATGGGGACTGCCTTGGCCCAAAAAAGCAGCTCCCTTCCCGAGATGCTAGCTGGACAAGGTGGAAGCGAGTCACACATCAAGGCCCTGCTGGTCAGAGCTTGGAGCTGAGCCACCACAGGTCACAGGGGGCGGGAAGGGGGCTGGAACATTTACCCTGAGCACAGCTACTCCACACAGGGAGCTGACTTCCTCCTCCAAGTACTCCAGGAAGGAAGCATCTAGAAGGAGGCCAAAAGGGAGCTGTGTCTAGCCCCAGCCAAGCTCCAGGGAAAGGGAGTAAAGCTGAGTCCAGAGAGCTCAGGAGCCCCAGAGCCAGGGATGCAGGTCCCTGTTTATCTCTCCACCCACAGATCAGAGAGGAGGTTAGACCAGGGAGATCAGAGTTGCCTGCTCTCAGACTATAGCAGGCAATCCACATGACCCTTGGCAGGGTGGCAAACGGAGCTGGATGGGCATCCACTCGGACTGCATTCCCAGGTGCCTCGCCTCTGCTGGCCCTCACTTCATACTCACCCAATGCCCAGTCACTGTTGATCCCTGGGTGCTTGGGGACTGTCAGGGCTCTTGGGACCCAGCTGGAAGCCAATAACAAACACCCCTGTTCTCCAAGCACACCCCTGGAAATGGGATGCATACCACACATAGGGCTGGGACAGGTGCCGGAAGAGACTGAAGCAGGAAGTGAGATAGGGAGGGATGTAACATCCTTGCCAAGCAGAGACGTGTAGGGGCCCCAGCACTGCGTAAAAGAGGCTGATTGACAGCTGGTAGAGTATTGAGGCACAGAGTGGTCCTATAAGCCTGGTGCTTTGCTAGAGTCCAGGGCATGATCTGAGGCTGACTTAAGTTGGCTGAAAGGTGACTGTTAAGCAAAGTCGTGCATGGATGAGTCAGTGAGCCCTGCAGGTATCTGGCTGCAGGAACGGCACTTTCAACGGTCCTCAGCCAGCACGTGCTTGGGTTGACGGACCAGTAGTAGACTGGAGAGGTGGATGTGTACAGGAATCCCTGTGAGAAGCAAAAGGCTGTAAGGTCTGCACTGTCAGAAAGAGATACAAGGGGATGTCTGATCCCTGACCGCTGCCTTCCCGGTCGGTCCCAGGCCCTCAGGATCCTTCACCTTCCCAACAGTGCCCTGAGGCCACCCATGGATGTGGACAGGAAGTCCCGGCTCCTCTCCATCTGCTTCCGCAGCATCTTTGCCCTGCCACTGCTGGATGCCCTGGAGAAGCACAGCTGTCTCTTCCTGGAACCACCCAACATCCAGGTACAGCCTGCACAGCCCAGGGGACTCTCAGGCAGGACGTCAGGCTCAGTCTTCTATGTGTGGCAGGGTGGGGCACATCGTCTGGCCACTCCACAGGCACGGTGGAGGCCCTGCATAGTTGCCTAAAGACTCTGGGTCCCCATTTGCCCGCCTGGGGCATGGCCCATTATCATCATTTGGTCCGTGCTAAGGTAGGTGGCTTGCCTGGTGTGTGCCTGTTCAGCAGCTCTGTACATAATGGTATATGCATGTTCTCCTTGCTGACCTAAAATCCATGTAGAATAGGAAACACAGAGGCACTCACCACTGTGTTTCCCTCCCTCCAAGCCCCATGGCCACCCAAGGAATTCACAGAAGAGAGGAAGATGGCTCTTTCAAAGGGATGAGTTCCCTGATATTGCAGGGATTGGTCCTGTCACACTAAGATGACTTACGGAGTGACCGTCCTTGCAGGGTAGGCTCCATTTCACCACACCTACCTGCCTGGGTCACTAGCAGGTCTCACCTGTAAATACTAAGCTGGCCCGGCCGGAAAGATGCTTGCCATGCCTCACAGCTACCACCAGAGGGTGCATGAAATTGCCAGGCATAGTCCCAGTCCCATGTGACAGCGGCAAAAGGCAGGACAGCTTTGTAAAGTGAGTGTCACAGGCACCAGGCCATCTGTGGACCCTCCCCACCTTCCCACAGTGACTCGGGGGGCAACGGGTACGCATCTCAGGAGAATAAAGTCGACCGTGGGAATGCCAATATCTGAACCCCACCCCAGGGCCCCTCCTCGTATTATACATCTGTGAAGCTGGGTCCAGGCTGCATCTGGACAGACAAGCACTGTGGGACAGCTGGTAACAGAGGAGGAGGAGGAGTATCTGCCTCAACATCTTACAAAGCACCCGGCGGCTAGAAGACTCCTTGACTCTGCAGGAAATGCAACCAAGGACTGAGTGTCAGCATGGGGAGCCAGTAGCATTGATCCAGCTCCTGTCTGTCCCCACTCCATCTGTCTCCTGCCCTGCCACATGGGACTGGCCGCCTGTCACCCCTGTGGAGGAACATCGGCCTAAGAAATGAAGTCATCCAGGTCACCAAATAGCAAATGACCTGAGCTCCTGATGACCTCATGAGAGTCTGGCTGGCCGTTTCTGTGACACATACACACACACACACACACACACACACACACACACACACACACACACCCCTAAATATGCCAGCAGCAAACATTGTTGAGGGTCCTTATATGAGCCTCAGAAATCACATCAGCTATATAGTTTGCAGGGCCAGGAAGAGGTATATACCCAGACCCTTTAAAAAAAAAAACAACTTTTAATAAGAGGACCAATGAGATGCTAGTGTGCAAAAGTACTTGCCACTCAAGCCCAATGACCTGAGTTGGATCCCAGAATCCACAGTAAGAGAGAACAGACTCCTGAAAGGTGTCCTCTGATCTCCACACACGTGCTGCAGCATGCACGCATGTATGCGCACACACACACACACACACACATACACACACACTCACACACACACACACACACACACACACACACACACACACATACATACATGCTAAGTAAATAATGAAATTAAAATTTACTGAGATTTTCAGGATGAAAATAGAGCCCATTATCTCCAGCATTACTTCCTGGAGTCCTGGGGCAAGTCGGGCCTGGTCACATATCTGCATGTCTATGGAGCCAACCCTGCTGGGACTGAGTTTTCCCTTGGGTAAATTCAACTGGGTGGGTTCCCAGGGCCTTTCTGGCCAGTCTCCATGCCTGTGTGGCAAGCCCCCTTGCAAATATGGCAATGAGCTCTGTCAGTTGCGGGAATCTGGCCTGGGGACATGCAGAAAGTGGGTGCCACTGGATACTGCCGCAGTCTTGGGCCTCGTCCCTACAGGACCTGGCTGACTTCCTCCCTTCCACAGGGATTATACAGTCAGACCATGGAGGCGGTGGACCACATGCTACAGTGTTTCATGATGCAGAACCCCACCGTCAATGAGCTGTACTTCCTGTTGTCGGTGAGGGCTGCAGGCAGCTGGGGACGGGGCAGGGGTACACAGCTCTGGCCTGAGAGTCCCCAAGAGGGTACTCCACAGGAAGCAAGACCTGGCCGGTAGGCTTCCCATGCCTAGAGGTTTGGAACATCTGGAGCAGACAGGAAAACATCAATCAGCCTGATCAGAAAGGGATCTATTGGAGAAGTGGCTTCCCCTATCACCTGTGCCCATGACACAGTGTCCCCCCAGGGTGTAGCTGAAGTTTTCCTGGTCCTGCCTGGCCCACGGTCAGGACAAATCTCTCTCCTTGTCCGGCTATCCTTCCTGCCTGGCTACTGGCCAATCAGCATTTTATTTATCAGTCAATCATAGCAACCTATATTCACAGCATACAGGACATCCCACAGCACAAGGGCATGGATCCCACAAACCCGCTCATCTGCCCACTAGGTGTCCATGGGAGGGAGACCACTCGGCAGACAGTGAGGGGCTAGTAGCAGGGCCTAGGCCCAGTGGAGAGGCCAGCTCCATCCAGGCCAGCGGTCAGGGTCAACGGGAGTCCCTAAGGAGCCCTGAATGGAAACCTTAGCCATTCCGGAGAAGAGAAGGACGCATAAGATGAGGCTGGAGCCAAGAAGAGGCAGGAGCCAGCTCAGTAGGTCAGAGTAGAGGTAACTCTGCCCACTGGAGCCTGGGGGGGTGAGGGACTATGGTGAGGCTCAGCCAAGCAAGGGCAGGGCCTCATCAAGAAGCCAAGAGCAGAAGCAGGAGCGCCAAGCCCCGTGACGCACAGGCGGAAGTCAGGAAGGAGGACACAGGCAAGGGAACCCCCAAGCAACAAGACAGCGTGCCAATCTAGGACTGTGCCCAAGTGGCAATGGCATCTACCAGTGGGAGTCACAATGGCTTCCCCACCCATGCCTGGGTCACTCTGTCTCCCAATAGCCTGTGTCTAGATCAGCTGACCACACAACCACCACACAACGCGCATCAGCTGTGCGCGATGATCTGAAATCAGTGCCCACCCTCTGTCTGCGTGCATGGCAGAAAGTTCTAGAAAGGGGCATCCGGCACACAGCAGGTTGAGAGCTTATGGGGGAGGGAATGTTTCTGCTGCACGGGAAGTGACCAGTTGTGAAGGGTGGCTCTAGAGACAAGAAAAGCTGGACCTGGAAGTGGTGGAAACCAAGGAGCCTTCCCGAGGGGTGGGCATGGACGGCCGTTTCTGGGGGTCTGACCCAGCACTTGACTACACCCACCCTGCAGCACCTGTATGTCTGGCTGGCATCAGAGAAGACTCATGAGAGACAACGGGCTGTGCACAGATGCATGATACTCTTCAAATTCCTGAACTGTAAACGCTGCCTAGAAGTAAGCTCCATCGCCCCAGCTCCATCGCCCCAGCTCCTCGCCTCCCCAGCTCCCTAACCAAACGCCTTCAAGGGTGAAACCTCTTGCTTAGAAGAACACCTACACCCCTGCCTCCAGTCCAGGGTGACCCTGAACATCCTGCTGTCTGACTGAACTCCGTGACAAGGGAGTCTAAATAATAACCCCTCTTTGTTCTTTTATTTTTAATGGAGTAAATAAATTTTTTAAAATTTAATTTCCTGGGATTGAGCCCAACAAAGACTCCACAATGAAGACAAATCACGTTTTAATGTGATCCGATATGACTGTGGGGTCTGGAGAAGTGGCTCAGCCGTCAAAAGCACTGGCTGCTCTTGCAGGATTTCCAGCATCCCCAGGGTGGCTTACAGTCCTCCGTAACTCCAGTTCCATGGGATCAGGCACCCTCTTCTGGCCTCTGCCAGCACCAGGCACACACATGGCACACAGATATACATGCAGGCAAAACACTTATACACGTAAAAGATAAAAGAAAGATAAATCTTTAAAAAAAAAAAAAACGTAACTATGGTCCACAGAGTGGCTACCTATTTTGTAAATGGTTTTATTGGTTCCAGATTGAGCTCAGGGTAAGAGAAGCCAGATAGTCGGGCGTGGTGCTGCATGCCTTTAACCCCAGCACTTGGGATTAAAGGTGGATCTCTGTGAGTTTGAGGCCAGCTTGCTCTACAGAGCCAGTTCCAGGACAGCCAGGGCTACACAGAAAAACCCCGCCTCGAAAAACCAAGAGAAAGGCTGGGGCAGAAGCCAGATAGTGTACTACGAGGTCACAGTTGGATCCTGTCCTAAGACCTTGACACTCTGTTCATCCAGTTTTCTGCAGTTTTTGTTGTTGTTTTGTTTATTTTTTATTACATTACCCCATTCTTTTCTCTTGATTACCAAGTTTTGGAGTCAAGTCCCTATATTTTGCCTACCCTGAACCCTGCCATACAATCCAAGGGATCCTCTGATGGAGGCCTCTGGTGGGGTTCACGAGTAGCCAGTGGGATGCTGTAGGTGGGCCAACCATCAATACCATGCTCTCTACATAGACCAAGGAGAACTTCAGGAGGATGGGGCAGCTGGTGGCCATGCTGGGGATCCTGTGCCAGGACTCTGACAGGACCATCCAGTGCTTGAGTCTAGAAGCTATGGGCCATCTCTATCAGCTTCTGATGCAGCACAAAGGTGAGTGCTCTCAGCACAACAGCACACCTGGCCCCTCACTACCTCATCCCGATCTTGACTTCAGCCATAACCTCCTAATAACACAACCCCTAAACCCAAATAAACACAGGCCTGATGCCAGTTACTAATGGGCTCAGCCTGACTCCTGCCCTGTCCCACATTAACCCCAGCCCACTCTGCCCTGCCCTCACCCCTGCCTGCCCTGACCAGCAGAAGTTCCAGAGACGGAGAGGGAGACCCCTCAGGAATTCCCTCCGCCTGATGCAGCTGGAGCTGCCCTCTGGAGCAGTGGAGACCAGAGGGGCACTCTTCTGATCCCCCAGGATATGGCATCCAAAAATGACAGCATCTTCTTCATGAGCAGCAACCAAGCTACCAAGGTCAAAGCCTTTAGAGTCTTTCTGGCTGGGTGGGTGCATAGCCAGAGCAGACGACCACATCTGCGGGTGGCAACAAAGGCATTCTTTTCTAAGCCTTTGAAGGGGAAACACGCAGGTTGGAGGGACACCAGTACACACTAGACTATGTATGTGTACCTTGGACAGGAGCCTTCACGGTTCTCTCAAATATCCCTTTCTCAAGTCTTTCCAACCTTCTCTAGACTGTTTTCCCGTTTACAGCTCTTCTGCCCCTTTCACACCAGGGTTTGAATTGTGTTATCCTCAAAAGCCACGCCCTGAGGCTGTGAGCTAGGTACCAGCGTTAGCTGGAGAGCCCACCCTAAAGCAGCATCAGAGCTGTGAGTTCAGGAAGTCTGCGAGGCGTGAGCTCTTGCTCGCTCAGGATGGGTTGAACTTTGGCTGAGAAGGACCCCCTGTGATTGGCATACTTGCCAGTCCTTGTGAGACCTAGCCCTTCCACTTCTCAACCGGGTCCACGTGGGGCCTGGTAGTTGAACTGGCCTTCAGGAAGCACCCATGGCGTCCTACCCGAACGGATAGCAGAAAAGTGGGGCACATGGCTAGTGAGTGCCCCAGCAAGACTTTGGTCTGATCCCATGGGCTCCAGAATACCGCAGCTACACTACAGTGAGATGTCCAAGTTTTGAGGCTCCTTAGAAGTTTAATACAGAAACTCTCCGTCCCTGGGGCCAGCCCCTCAATGGGCCTGCCTAAAAGGAAGACAATCTCATTTAGCTGTAGTTTGCACCAGAGAACCTGGGCTGGGGTCGAGGCAAGGCAAGGAGGGGACGAGTTCCACTGGCTGCCAGCCCAGAAAGTTCCAGAGGGAAGGTGGGCCACTGGGAAGCATAGAGTCTGGGGCCTAGAGAGAGACAACCTGCTCTCTATCCATGGGGCAAGACACGGATAAACTGGATACGAACAGAGAAGGAGCAAGAATGGGAGGATCTGCTGATTTCGAGGTGCAGGCCTTGGAAAATTCCAAAGGAGAGCAGATGTTCTGGGCCTCCATCCTGCCCCTGTCAAGTTTGTACAGACTCCTCATGTGGTCTTAGGATGCAACACACTTTTATCATCCTCATCCTCTTCATCACCTTTACCACCACTGTCATCGATAATACCTCCAACATCACCGTTGCTATCATTATCATCCACTATCATCACCACCCTTACCATCCTCACTGTCACTACCACCACCATCATTACCACCACCATCACTGGTACCTCCAACACCACCATAACCACCAGCATTCACTATCATCACTCCCATGATTATCATCACCAATACCCCATCATCACCATCATTTCCACCATTATCCTCACCACCGTCATCACCACCTGTCACCACGCCCACCATCATCCCTTTCATCACCATCACCACTGGCATCATCATCACCACCACCATCATCATCATCACCACCACCATCACCACTACCATCGTTACCACTAACACCCCCATCATCACCATCACTTCCACCACGGCTACCATCACTTCTACCATCACCATCATCTCTATCCCCTACTGTCGTCAACATCATCACCCTCACCACTGCCATCATATTCACATTACCTCCATCATCACCACATCATCACTGCCCCCACAATGGTCATAATCACCATCATCCTTATCCCCACCTTTACCATCACCACGATCAGCACCACACCCTCTCGCATTTACTCATGGCCTGGATTAAAGCTCCACATCACAGGAGTCTTTCCATTCCTGTGTCGGTGCTACTCTGGGCTCTGAGCATCTCTCCACCATTCTGACTTGAACTTTCTGTAAGGTTGAGTGTGGTCTACATCTGTGCAGATCAAAGAAGCCACTGGCCCCATGTAGCTGCTGAGCTCCTGAAATGAATCTAAGGCTACCAAAGAGCTGAGGCTTTAGTTTTACTGAATTAAATATTGATAGATTTAAGCCTATCATAGATCTAAACTATTATGAGTGGCAGGGTTGTTATATTGAACAGCCATAGTCCAATTCTTTCCAGAAGGTTCTGACTGTGTGGTGATCTAGCCCAAATGTACCCTCCAGGGCACTAGGGAAGAAGACTTAGAGACTTAGACATACCACCTTTGCATTTATTGCCTCAAGTGTCTTTTCCACGCCCCTGAGTGGCTCATGAGCTACATTCAAACATGAGACTCACCATTAGACTGACCCCAGAGAATGGGATTGCCGAGCACAGCTGGAGGCTGAAAGGACTCTATGTGAGACAGTAGTCTCGGGTTCCACACCAGCCTGGCCCCACATATTCCTACCCTGTTCCATGGCACCTCTCTAGGCCTAGAGGTCAGACCTGGTGGCCTGGAAGATCCATCACAGCTCTGAAGTTCAATTCTCTTTCATTAAAGCCCTCATAAGAAGGACTTGGGCCTGGCCATGGGCAGCATTTCTCTGGACTCGGCGTAACATGTGGATGACCTGGGGCCAAGATGGGAAGAGGATGGGAGGACACAAAGTTTCCAGGGCCACCAGAACCCAAGAACAAGCCAACGCTGGTTGGAGTAAAAAGCCCTGTGCCTGCCCGGTGCTAGACACCATCCCCTCCCTTCCTGTCCCTAGGCATTGGCTGGGGCAGAGGGATGTGGAAAAGATTGTGTACTTGGCCCACATAGAGAGCCTAGAGGAGTGGGTGCCCAGAGATTTGGGGAGCCTGACAGAAGGGTAAAAAGGGACAGGCAGGGGGGGTTGAAGTGATAAGGTGACAGGCTCTCCACTCTCACAGGAGATCATGAGTCATCTTGCAATGACAGAGCTGACTGACCTCATCTGGACAGCCATCGACGGCTTGGGCTCTACCAGCTCTTCCTGGGTCCAGGCGGCTGCCGATTTGCTTTCCCTTGTCATCCAGGAGCATGGGGACAACCTGGCAACTGTGAGGGGTTGGGGTCCTACCCAGGGCCAGGGAGGAGAGGGGCAGCGTTGAGGACTAGGCAACAGGCAGCATCTAGGAGCCTTCTTTGGACCAGGATGGAGAAGACTGGGATCCCACTGCAGGCAGCAGACAACCCAATTAGTGGATGGATGGGTGGGTGGGTGGATGGATGGATGGATGAATAGATGGATGAATGGATGGATGGATGGATGGATGAATAGATGGTGGAGGGATGGATGGAGGGATGGATGGATGGATGGAGGGAGGGAGGGAGGGATGGATGGATGAATAGATGGATGGATAGATGGATGGAGGGATGGAGGGAGGGAGGGAGGGAGGGATGGATGAATAGATGGATGGATAGATGGATGAATAGATGGATGGATGAATGAATGGATGGATGGATGGATGAATAGATGGATGGATGGATGGATGGATGAATAGATGAATGGATGGATAGATGGATGAATAGATGGATGGAGGGATGGAGGGAAGGATGGAGGGAGGGATGGATGGATGGATGGATGTGACTTAAGGGAGCCCTATGTCACTTATCGATTAAGTGCAGCTATGGACCACAAAGGGATAAGGTGACACAGGGAAAAACAGACCAGAACTTCTAGAGCTTGTGGTCTGATGGGGTGACAACATACAGACAGAGGTGGACAGAATGGCCCAGTAGGTGGAGGGAGAGAGAGACAGAGAGAGAGAGAGAGAGAGAGAGAGAGAGAGAGAGAGGGAGAGAGGAGAGAGAGAGAGAGAGTAATGAACCCTATAGGGTGAGAAGCGTGCCCCAGCAAGAGACAGCTGATGCCAGCTCCTCCAAATGCCTCAGAATGCTGTACCGGGCCCTCCCTTCAGGCCAGGTGTGCAGAGTAGGTGGGCTCTCCCCATCAGACCCCTCCCACTACTCCCTGTCTCTGAACAGGTTGGTAAAATGGGCCAGGCCATCCACCACCACCTCTGTGCCATCCAAATGCCCCAAGCCAAGGAGAGTGTCCTGCATGTCATCACCTTACTGGCACGGAACCACATCCCTGAGCTGGTGGCTGCCTTCCTAGACTTTTCCACTCCTCTGGACAGGTACCTAGCCCTCTCCTCCTTACTGACCCCATTACTTACCCTCCATCCTTCCCCAAGCCAGGGTCACAGCTTCTGCCCTCCTGTCTGTCCATCACAGACCACAGGAACCCTGAGTGCTTGGTTGTAGGGAGGGAGTCAGCGCCTCTGTTCATTTAGACTTGCCTCCTGTAGACAGTCCACAGAAATACCTGCCCCAGCCTCCACCACCCATGCTAAGTGGTCGCTAATTCCCGAGTGCTCCTGCTGGGACCCCTGCTAACCACAAAGCCTAGCCATCCATTAGTGTGGACCCCTCTGACTTGTCCTGATGCTGTTCGTTCTCTTCTTCCTGCTCTTTCCAATAGCCCCCTGCAGTCACCTCAGCCCTCTCAGGTGGGCCTGGCTTTTCTCCCATACCACAGGACCCCTGAGTCTGGGGCTAGACCAGGATTCTTGTAACTGTCCATGTCCCTCCTCTCTAAAATCCCACCTCTGGATCCCATATCCTCAGTCTACAGCACCCACCATTCATCTGCCACACCTGGACGAGTCACCACCCCTCACTTCTTGATAGGGTAGCTTCTGCTCAAAGATAGACTACGCTTTGCTTTCTCAGACTCTTTCCAGACTAGAATTCCCCTCTGCCCCTCACCCAAACTTCTGCTTGGATCTCTTTACTCCCTCCAAGATCCAGCAAGCCTCTACCTGGTGGGACCAGCATGCTGCTGTCCTACCTCCCTACTCACCCTCCCCCTGTCCTTATCCAGTTCCTCCTTCCCAGATCGGGTTCCACCTGGCATACCCAGGTCTTTGCCCTGGGTGCTGACTTGGCTCCACACTGCTCTGGGAACTCTGGAAACCTGTGAGAGAGCTCCTCCAAAGCCTAGAGTCTTCTCCAGGGAGAATTCTCACCTCAGCAGGGAGGTGTCCTATTTCCATTAGCAACTTGTACTTCCATTGTGTGCAAATGCAAATGCTGTTCTCTCATCTCTGGACTGTCTGGTTCCTTTAAGACGCTGTTGTGAAACGTCGCCTGGGTCCTCAAGAGAAAAGTACATTTCTGTCATCTCGGTGTGGAGTCTAATATATTCACCAGATTCACCTCACTTTTTTTTTTTTTTAAGTTGCATTTTATTTTGTGGAGAAAAGTTGTCCAGCAGAGGACAACTTGTTGGAGTCCGTTCTCTCCTTCATTGTATGAGTCCTGGAGCTAGAACGCAGCAGGCTTTTGGCAAGTACCTTTACCTACCGAGGGTATCAATGACCCAGATTTTGACAATTGCTTTGTAAGTTACTTGGTCATGTTGCCTGGATGATATTTTCTCTCTCTCTCTCTCTCTCTTTGAAACCTAGGTCTTTTACCAGGTGAGGTATACCAGCCTAATTTTCCCAAGCATCTGGTGCACATTTGATTATGTTCTTATTTCGTTCTTATTTCTGGCAAGTTTACTTGACTGTGTTGAAAGTTGGTCTCTGCCCAGGTCGTAATCTCTGGTCCGATGCTACTTTTCTCCCACCTTCATGGTCACACCTGCTGATGTTCCTGGCTTTCCCCTAAACTCACTGTCTTCTTCATGTCACTCTTCTGCCTTGCCTGAATGTCCCTTATTAAATGTCCATCTGAGTCAGACCTCTCTTGGCCACCCTTTAATTTTTCCCCATTTCCGAGATTTCCTCATGTGTGTAATACACACATATGCATATGATGTGGATGTGGATGTGGAGACCAGAAGCTGACACTGAGTCTTCCTCAATCTCTCTCCACCTTCTTCTGAGGCAGAGTCTCACAGTTAAAACAAGAGTTCGCCAATATGGCTAGTCTCTGCCTTCCAAGGACTGGAATTACAGGTGGGCTGCCACACCCACTGGGCATTTATGTGGGTATCTGGGTATCTCTAGTCCTTACTCTTGCAAAGCAAGCTCTTTAAACCACTGAGCCATCACCCAGCCTCGAAAGTCCAGCTTGTTTGTTTGTTTGTTTGTTTGTTTGTTTGTTTTTGAGACAAGTCTTGCCAGGCTGACCTTGAACTCTTCCTCCTCCTCTGTCTCACTCCTTGAGTTCTAGGATAACCTAACAAGTTATTGTTTGATTCTTTCTATTTCTTTCCTAAGTTCAGTCAGTTCTTTTCAGGTCCTACTGAAGATTTGTCCTTTCTTGAGCATATTCAAGGTGGCTAAGGCTCTGAGTACTTCTCGCTGTGGAGTGAGTGAATGAGTGAGTAAGTGAGTCCAGGATGGCTCTATAGTACTAGCACTCTAAGGCCATCTTCACTTTGTTGACTCATTGCTTCTAGTTTTTGCAATAAACTGTAGAGCTGTTTGTCTTAGTCAATGTTTTATTGCTGTGAAGAGACATCATGACCAAGGCAATTTATCAAGGAAAGCATTTCATTGGGGGCTTACTTACAGTTTCAGAGGGTTAGTCCATTATCATCATGGTGGGGAGCATGGTGGCAGGCAAGTGTGGTACTGGAGAAGTAGCTGAGAGCTACATCCTGATCCATAGGTCAAGAGAGAGACTGACACTGGGGCTCGCTTGAGCTTATGAAACCTCAAAGCCCATCCCCAGTGACACACTTCCTCCAACAAGGACACACCTCCTAATCCTTCTCAAGTAGTGTCACTCCCTAATGACCAAGCATTCAAATATGTGAGCCCATGGAGGGGGGGCATTCTAATTCAAACCACCACACTGTTCATTTTGGAGCTGCTGGAGTGTTTCAGGGGATTTCAAGTTCAATGGCGCCATCATCTGTCAGTACAGCAAAAGCTGGGCCATCTAGAAGACGTTGGGCTTGGTGGTAGGCACCAGCACCTATGCCCTCTAGTTCTTTGGGCTTCTTTTCTCTGCCAGGAATGGGGAGTAAGACACATACACGCTGATCACGCCTGCAGACAGACAATCGCAAGCAGTGCTGAGGAACGGACGGAGGTGCTCCGACCTCCGGAGTTCTCTCTCCTCTGGTGTATTTTAAGACTTCAAGGGGATTCATCTTCCTGAAGGTGATTTGGACCCAGTCTGAGCTTTCCATTTGCCCTATGTCCACTTCCCCAAAGTTTCTCTTATCTGCTCCTGTCTGTCACAGAGCCCTGAAGTAGGCGGTGGAGCTTGTCCACTAGGGCTGGTGTTTTTCCCTTTACTCCCAGTGAAGAGGCCACAGTGACACTGTTCCCGCGGAGCTCTGTGCTGTCTTTCAGAGAATCTGGGAAAGTGCAGATCTCAGCAAGCAGCACCTTTTCCGAGGCCGGGCACTCCACGGTTCCGTCTCACTGCTAGAATTTATATGTTCCTTCCTCAGTCCCAAGCACTGTCCCCATGATAACATTTACAAAGCCTGAGTGCGCTGCACACCAATGGAGCCTCTCCTGGATAGATTTATCTGGATTTTCATCAGCTTCTGCCAGTCACCTGGGCATGATCACTTGTGATGGTTTTAAGCATAAAAGTCCCTGCTAGACAGTTTGGGGGCTGCACTGATGGTGGGAATTTGGACATGGAAATAGACTTTATGGCTCAGATTCCCAGGACAAAACCCTTCTCCCACCTACAGTGATGAAGCTGGGGTGGGAGGATCCTCTCTTTTTCTGCAGGGCAGAGATCTATTCGCTTATCGCTTCCTATTTCTCTTCCCTAAACTATGCACGTAACTCTATGGAGCGATCACCTATTAGGTGCCCATCATGGGCAATCTTTCTTTTAAAAAAAGATGCATGTCATAGCTAAATATGGTGGTGAACACCTAGAATCCGAGCACTCAAGAAGCTGAGATAGGAGGATTACAACTTTAAAGAGAGTCTATGTACAGACCCTGTCCCTAAAGGGAAAAAAATTGCCACCTGGCCTGAGTGGGGAATAAAAATGTCAGGAGTGGTAAGACAGGAGTTTCCTCCTCCTCCTCCAAGTTCAAAGACGGCCAGATCTGCATAGCAAAGTCCAGACTAGTCAGGGAGACAAGAAAGACCCTGTCTCAAAAATGTACCCATCCCAACGGTGCAGTGTGTGCTGAAAGCGTAAACCGTACAATATGAACTCTTCCAATGTCTTTCTTCTCGCCTGGCTTTGTTTCCCTCTGGCTTCGTGTTTAAATTTTATGATGTCTCACTGCAGCTCTTTCCTCTTCGATGTTCTGTGGTGCTAATGTTGTGAATGCCAAGGGTCCTCTTCACTGTAGGTGAACATTTAATTATTTCCCACTAGAGACCTTGACGAACAGTGCGTCTTGTGAACTTTGCTTGCGTGTGTCCTAACATACTGGAGAACTGGATTTCCCCTGTGTGATGTGTGTGGGGTAGGGGGAGGGTGTTATTAGGGACAATACCCCTAAAAGAGAAAGCTGTGCTGTGCCCCCGCTCCATGGACATGCAAGGAGGTGTAAAGCATTTCCCAATGTGCTCCTGCTGAGTCCCACTCCAGGGACAGACTGCTATTCTCTGAGCATCCCTCTTGCTCCACAGCTTCTGGTGCTCAGCACCTGCATTTTAGCCAATCATCCATGTTTTGGCCAATTTGATAGGTGCTGGTCAGCTTATACTATTCGTTGTTACTTCCATTGATTGAGCTTGACTTGACATCTTCCCGTTCCATTTTTCTTTTGTGTATGTGTGTACAAACGTGTGTGTGCATGTCTGCATGGGCACGTGTGTGGACGGGTGTAAATGTGGAAGACTGAGGTTCATGTCAGGAATCATCTTCAATCGCTCTTCAACCTTATTCATTGGATCAGCATCTCTCAATCAAGCCAAGAGCTCACTGACATGGCTAATCTCATTAGCCAGCTTACTCTGGGGACCCTCTGTCTTAGCCCTTGGGGGCTGGGATTACTGATGGATCACCACACCCACCTGGCATCTCTGTGGTTTCTGGGGATCCAAATTCTGGTCCTCACACTTGCTTGGCAAGCACTTAACCACTGAGCCGCCTTGCATCTTCCATTGCTTCTTGCTATTTGGCAGTGAGACTGTGCAAAGGGCCTGCTCGATTTTTCTGCTGGGTGTCCCTCTTTATGACATACAATATGAGAATCTTTCCTGAAAGCTGGGCACGGACCCTTCTTGCCTGCCATGTTAGGAATATCTTCTCCCATACAGCGGCTGCTTTCCCATCCCCACCACGTCCTTTTGTGAGCAAGTACCAACTCACACTGTCCTTACGCACTGTCGTCTTGTTCGTTCGTTTGTTTTTGTTTGTTTGTTTGTCGAGACAGGGTTTCTCTGTGTCACCCTGTCTGTCCTGGAACTCAATCTGTAGACCAGGCTGGCCTCAAACTCAGAAATTCACCTGCCTCTGCCTCCTGAGTGCTGGAATTAAAGGCATGCGCCACCACCGCCCGGCTATGCACTGTCTTCTAAGGTCTCTTGTTGGCCTTCAAGGTGACCTCTCCAGTCCATCCGGAATGATTGCATATGATGCAGATATGGTCCCAGAAAGCCAGCTCACTCCTCTCTCTGCTCAGCATTCCTCACAAATCAAGCACTTCTTGCCCTCAAAGGGCTCTACTTTTCCATCCCCAGGCCAACCCAGAGTTCGAATTGTGACAGCTTGGTAGCAATTGTCCTCTACAGAGCAGCCTTTCCTCTGACTTTCCAAGAATGTCTTCTCTACTCTTGACCCTTTGCATTTCCACAAAACACTAAGAGTCAAGCGCCCAGAATGCCTTCCTTCTCCTCTGCCTTTGATGGCTGCTTTTACTCGAGTGTTCAGAAGCACTAGGTGAGGAGCTGGAGAGATGTCTCAGTGCTTACAAGCATTTGCTGCTCTTTTGGAGGACTACAGTTTGGCTCCCAGCACCAGTGAGTTCACACTGCCCAATACTTAGACTCCTCTAACCCTAGCCTAGCCACAGCAGTTCCTTTTGTTGGTATTGCAGCTTTGACTTCTAATATGTCCACATTGTTGCTTCAGACTTGCCTTTTTCTTTACTTTATTTTTAACGTGTGTTTTGTGTGTGTGTGTGTGTGTGTGTGCGTGTGTGCGCGCGCGCATGCGCGCGCGCACATGGGGGTGCCTATGGAGTCCAAAAGAGGGCATCCTATCATCTGATGCTAGAGTTATGGATGCTTGTGAGGCCCCATGTGAGTGCTGGGAACCCAACTTAGGTCATCTGTAAGAGCAAGGGCTCTTAACCATAGAGCCATCTCTCCAGCACCCAGACATGTCTATTGTAGATAGAATTTTATCAAGTGTGTCATAATCAGTCTTTGTCTTTGGTTGGAGTACATGTCCTATTTGCATGTACTGTAACTGTCAAAGTGTTCAGGATTGACTTTTCTGTCCTTACTCTTCCCATCAATGTGTTCGGGAATGACTTTGCTATCCTTACTCTTCCCATTAATGTGTTCAGGAATGACTTTGCTATCCTTACTCTTCCCATCAATGTGTTTGGGATTGACTTTGCTATCCTTACTCTTCCCATCAATGTGTTTGGGATTGACTTTGCTATCCTTACTCTTTCCAGACAAGTAAAGGACCTTCAAAGTCCTCTTGTGAACTGCTATGGCCCTGTGTGAATGCCTGGACTGTCCCCCGGGTATTGCACCTTCCAAGTTCCTCTACACTAAAACATGTGTCGCAACTTCATTCTTACGGCTGGGCAGTGTTGCCCTGTGTGTACTCTGTAGTGGGTGTGTGTATATCATTGTGTGACCGTGCCACATTTGGCTCATCAGTTCATCTGCTGATGGACATCTAGGTGATCTACACCTTTTTTTCTGCATGAGCAATTTGCTGTCAACACTGGCAATCAAGAATTCCACCTTCTGCATCCGCAGCTCCCACATCTATGGAGTCAGAATATTTCTCCAGAAACACTATGCTTATGCTGACCCTGCACAGGCTCGTCATTACTCCCCAAGTGATGCAGCTTAATGACTGCTTGCATGGAATCTGCCTCATATTAGGTAGTCCATATAATGGGGATGGAGGTTAAAGGATACCTGGAAAGGGGGATTGTAAAGTATATGCAAGGAGTTCACCATGTTATACAAGGGACTTGTGCAGGGTTTATGCTGGTTTGGATTGGATTTTTGAGACGGGGTCTCACTGTAGGCTAGACTGGTCTAGAACTCACTGTGTATCCCAGACTATACTCACACCCTTACAATCCTCCTGTTTCAGCCTCCCAAGTTCTGGAATGACAGACATAGGCCACCATGCCCAGCTAGAGCATCCACAGATTTTCATACCCAAAGGAGATCCTTGCTGACACTATGGGACAACTGCGTATGTTTGATCTGTTCTCTGATTTTGGGGGTCCCTGCGTTTAGGGAAAGTACAAGGCAGCATGGCAATGTCACATCTAATCCCGCCCCTCCACCCCACCCCACCCCTGAGGAATTGCTACAACTTTCCAGAGCAGTTCTGCCTCTTTACACTCCCCCAGCGGTCCATGGATTCCGGTTTCCCCACATCCTCGTCAAGGCTTGTGCCGTTCGCTCCTTGGACCACACCTGTCACAGTGGGAGTGAAATAATATGAACTGGTTCCCACTGGTGTCCGCGTCTTCCCAGTGCTTCTTCCTTGGCCAGGCATCTCTCTTGTTTTGAGAAGTGTCTTTTCAAGCCTGTGGGTTGGTGGATTCTGGCTGTTTCCCTTCTCTCTTACTCTCTGCCCCCATCCCTCCTGAGCCTGCTTAGATCTGCTGCTCCCACTGCAGCTGAGATGAAACTGCTCTTATCAACAGCTTCACGTGGCTGGGGCCATCCCCGCCTTGGTTAGCTGTCTGCCATCCGCCTTTCATGCTGCAAATGCTTTCCCATTGGCTCCTGGGTTTCCCTCCTTCCTTTTCCCACCGTGTTCCCCACTGGGCTGTCACCCCTAAGACTTCAAGGATTTTTCTCAATGCTGCATGTCTCGCTCCCCTGAATGTTGCCTTCAACATGCTCGGCACGAAGGTGCCGGTGGGGAGACAGCAGCCCCAGGGAGCAGATTGAAAGTCTCACCCTCCAGGCTCTCAGATGCAGGGAGGGCTCGGGCTCTCTCTCTCTCTCTCTCTCTCTCTCTCTCTCTCTCTCTCTCTCTCTCTCTCTCTCTCACCTCCTGATGCAGTCATCCTGTGGCCACACTGGAGAAGACTCCTAGGATTTTCTGTGCCCACCTAGCAAGTATCAGCTGGGACTGGGGTGATTTCCACAGGGCCTTAAGGGTGGCCCCCTCGGGTCTGCCTTGCCACTTATGAGGCCACTCCACTATGTCCTTCCTGGTCTTGCCCCAAAGGGCCCTTTCCACCCAACACTAAAGCCCAAAGGACACTAGGGTAAGACTCAGGGGACATCATAGTTCCCTCTCATGACAGCTCTTGCCTGCCCTCCTTGCCTTGGACCTCAGATGGCTGCAGGGTCAGTGCCCAGATACCAAACAGGACCATGATCTGAGTAAGCCTCTCTCTGCAGACCTCAGCATCCACCTCCCTGCAAAGTAAACACAAGGTCACCCTGCCCTTCACTGGGGCCCTAGATAGACATAGAGCCTACTAGCCAAGTCAAGCAGACCTGAGCCGCAGCATGGCACTCACAGCACACCCCCCATCCACAGCCATTCCTTTCGCCTGTGGAGGGCCCTGGGAGCTGAAGAGCCTGCCAGCCATTTGGTTCTGACTGTGCTGATGGCGTGGATGCAGAAGAGGCCTCTGCCTTCTAGTGCCAGCAACAGCAGCCCCTGTCCCGTGAAGAAGCCTCATTTGCGTTCATTGGCCGTGAGTCTCTGACCTCACCTCTGGCAGGCAGCTGTGTGAGCGCATGGGTCAGTATGCTAGTCTTCAAGGAAGAGGGCTGAGACCCAGGCCACTCCTATCTGGAGAAGAAGAGCATGGGGCAGCCCAGCCCATAGACTGATCCCACAGTCCTTGGCTCAGTTCCCAGGGACCTGGCTCAGGACTCTGAGCCCTCAGCAAGTCATGAGGATCTGTCTGACTTACTGCTAAAGGGACTGTAGAAGGCAGCCTTGGAGAGGAGGGGCCTCCGGCAATGTACAAACAGAAGCCTAGCACTTGGGGCTCAAAGCCATGCCCCGTATTGGGATCATAGATTCTGGACGAGCCATAGCATTGGCAGCAACACTGTCCCTATAGGATCCTCTCTCCAGTTTTCTCCATTAGCCCACACCGTATTTGCACACCCTGGAACAGGACGCCTGCTTGCTAAGGTGGCCATGTCTATACCTGTCTCCTTTGGCTGGACTCTTGCAAGGCAGTAGCTGTGCCAAACTCCATGTGGCCCTTTCTTAGACAGAGTCTTGGCCCCAAAGGCCCCTGAGTGATAGCCCAGAGCACATAGCTGCCTCCCCACACCCAAATCCTCCCTAGACTGACAACCACCTACAGACACGGTACTGAGAATATAGGAAGTGCTTAGGTTAGGGTGCACCGGTTAGGGAGCATGGGTTGGGGAGCACAGGTTGGAATGCACCTGGCTATAGAACATCAGCTAAAGAGCACAGGGCAGGGAGCACCACTGGGGAGCACCGAGGAGCACCACTGGGGAGCACTGGGGAGCATCAGGGAGACTAGAGCAGCAGGTCCAGAGGCTCTAGTGGAGGCTGTACAGGTGACATAAGCCAACACAGGTCAATTGACATTGCCTGGACACTTAGACTTGGTCTTGAGCCATCAGAACAGGGGGGAAGAGGTGTGTTTGAGTGTGCGTTTTGGCTAAACATCCCTAGCCTGGAATCCCAGCACTTCAGCTCCAAACTCATCCAACTCCAACAGGCCATGAACACAATTCACGAGCTACAGTTCGCGAGAGAATTCAAGAAAGCCGTGCGGGACACCTTTCCCCAGCTGTTCCTGGCCCTTCTGGCCCAGATGCACTATATCATGGAGCTGAACCAACCCACAGAACCTGAGCAGGAGCAGAAAGCCCAGGAATCAGCCATGCCAAGCCCCCAAAGGTGAGCCCAAGGCCTCATAGGCAGCTAACTGCCGGGCCTCACACATACCTATAAGAACACTCAGGACACACACACACACACACACACACACACACACACACACACACACACACACACAGCTGGGGTGGAGGAGCTGAGATAGCAGGATATCATCCTTCAGTTCACAGATCAGAAGTCTAAATTCAGAGGGTCTGCAGCCTTACCCTTTATTACTTCCCTGGCTTCAGCTGTCCCTGCATGACTATAATCTCAGTCTCCAACATCGCATAATCCTGTCCTCTGCCTGTGTCTAAATGCCCACTTCTTATAAGGACACCAGTCACTGAGCTGGGGCCACCCTAATAGCTTCATCTGGACCTGAAGGCATTTGCACGGTTGGTGGGGGGTGGAGGATGGGGGGAGTATCTCCAACGTATCTTTCTAAAAGGGACAATTATAGTTAATAGTCATGATCCCAAATGCCATTCATGGCTGGGATAGCAGCCAGCACAAATGATCCCAAAGACAGGTTGTGTGCTTTCTTTGTCTCCCTAGGGCTCCTGGCCCCACAGACACTTATCAAATAGGGGCCCCTGAACACAGCTACCCAGTTATGACAAGGGGCACATCTTTTTTTTGAAGGGGAGGAGAGATATCAATATAGGATGTCTCTATGTAACCCTGGCTGTCCTGGGACTCACTCTGTAGACTAGGCTGGCCTCGAACTCAGAGATCCGCCTGCCTGTGCTAGGATTAAAGGTATGTGCTGCCACACCCAGCAGAGCACCTCCTCTTGATCCATATGCTCCTTGCAATGGGTCCAGGACATAGCCATCCCTCCCTACATCATACACGTGGAACAGCAGAGGTTCGTGGTGGCTCTGATGCTTCTCTAGCCAAGAGGCACTGAGCTGAACCACAGATAACCATCCAGTCCTCGCTCATCACAGTCAATGCTGTGGCTACCAGAGTGGACCATGGATGGCTTGTCTCTGTGTAATGTCATGATCAGTAATGCCTTACCGTCAACCCGCCTGGCCAGGATGTGAGGGACATTCCGTCCTGTCACAGTCGGGGCTGACTGCTTTGGTACTGCCTTTGTACCTGGTCCTATTTCCCAAAATCCAGTAAGCCAGTCTTTAAAAACCACTGGGGCTCACTCTTTTCATTTGTTTGTGTGATGATATGCTTCATGCAATTTGTCAGTTTTAACAGCTCTCCCTAAGGCACGTCACAGGGAAAAAAAAGTCACTTCTCAGATTGCCTCTGAATTCCAATATGCGCAAAATCTCTTTTTTATTCACATCAACCGTGCAAAATGCATGAATCTTCCCTAATAAGCTAATAAAACATTCTCCTCCCAGCACACAGCAAGGTGGGGAGAATGCAAAGATGGCTGCCTCCTCCCTTCTGCTTCTCTGCCCTCCCTACTCTTGGCCAAAGCCTGCTGCCCTTGGGGCTCTGCTCACCTGAAAGTCCCCTGTCAAGACCTCCATGGACACCCCTATAAACAGCAATACCTCCCTCAGTCCCTACCCTACGCTGGGCCCTCAACATCTAACAACATCTTTCCTGGTTTGTTGCCTCCACCCCATGGGTAGAAGGTTCTAGAAGACAGGGATGTCTGTTTCCATGCCCAAGGAAGGTCCCACATTCCTGGGCTCATGGGTAGTTTTCCCTGTGGACGGAAATCCCAAGATGCATCCCTCTCACCAAGATGCATCCCTCTCCACCTCAGCTCTCCTTTCTCCACTGGCCATCCTATAAACAGGTCCTAGGGGTGGTCCTAGGAGCCAAAGGTCCTGAAACATACCCTGGGTGTAGTACATGAGCTCTGATTGGCCCAGATCCAGTCATATGCCCATCTCTGAACCAATGGAAACATCCAAGGCTCTAACTGATTAGGTGTGGCTCCCATATCCACCTGGAGCATGAACAAGACTCGGGCCTCCCTCCCTGCAGTGGAAAACAGCCTGGCTGGGACCAACCAAAGGGGCCCAAGCATGGGCAGGCCACCCAGCAGGCACATGAACAGGGGTGACAGTGGCAAGTCAGGGAAGCTGGCTGGCACTCTTTAGTCCTCAGAGGGTAGGTGGCATGAATGAGATCTATCACAGTCTAGGGCCTGACACCTTGTGCCTGGTTGACTGGCACTGTGGAGAGAAAAAAGAAGTGCTGAAGAGGGGTTATAGGAACCCACTGCTGCGCGTACCACTGGCTGTCGGGGCCCCACGGGGTGGATGGCCCAGAACACTTGATGGCGGGGCAGATGGGTCTTGACGCTGGAGGCTCCTGACATCTTACTCAGCTGGGCTGGGCCCCATAACCAGGAGTGGGGCTTTGGGGAAAGCCTGCCCTCGACAGGTGTGGGACCTCCTTGAGTCACAAATAATGCTCGCTATAGAGATTTCACCAACCCAGGTCATTTCTCGGTTGTGTCCTCCGCCAGCCTTTGGAGGACTTCCCACTGACTTCGTCGAACCATCAGGGCTGAATGCCCCACTCGTGAGACGTGTCATGTCTCTATTTCCAACTCACTCTCCGTCCTCACTCTCATCCTGGCCTCACTGTTGACCTCTGCCCTTCTAGGTCAAGGGACAAAGACTAGTGACAGAAGAAGAGAAGTGAGTACGTGGGCATGCTAGTCTCAGCACTCGGCTCCACACCTGAACCAGGTAGATCCTGAGTTCAAGGCCAGCCTCAGAAAGAGTTTGAGGCCAGCCTGAGATACATAGCAAGATCTTGTCTTTAAAAATAAAAAACAAAACAACAACAACAAAAAAAAAACCTAAATGGAGGAGAAAGCATCTCACATTCATAAGGGTGGGTACATTCACAAACAGAACAGCAGTGCTTGGTAAAGGTGTGGAGAGACAGCCAGGTCGTGGTGGTGCACACCTTTAATCCCAGCACTCAAGAGGCAGAGGCAGGCAGATCTCTGAGTTCGAGGCCAGCCTGGTCTGCAGAGAGAGTTCCAATACATCCAGGGCTACACAGGAAAAACCCTGTCTCAAATAAAAACAAACAAAAAAACAGGGGAAAAAAGTTGTGGAGAAACAAAGCCCTACATAGTGATGGTGAGATGTGAGGTGGAGCAGCTGTGTGGTCCTCAAAAAGGATAACTATGGCGTGAGGTGCAGTGGCGTGTGTTTGTCATGCCAGTGTTTAGAAGCTGAGGCAGAAGGATCGTGAGTATGGGGCCAGCCTGGGATATACAGAGCATGTATCTCCAGGGAGGCAAGTGCCTACAGAATGTTCCATGTGGCCCAGAAATCCCACTTCTTCTCTGAATTTGTACCTGAAAAAAATGGAAAGCAGGGACTCAGAAGCATCTGGAAAATTTGCTGACAGACACTATTCACAGTGGCCAAAATTGCAAATGTGCCAAGAGTTACAGATGGGAGGATGGATGGATGGATGGATGGATGGATGGATGGATGGATGGGTAGATAGAATGTAATTGTCTTAGGGTTTTATTGCTGTGAAAAGACACCATGATCTCGGCAACTCTTACAAAGAAAATATTGAGATGGTGGCTTACAGATTCAGAGGTTCAGTCCATTATCATCATGATGGAGGGGATGGCAGTGTGCAGGCAGACATGGTGCTGGCTACATCTTGACCAGAAGGTTCAGTCCATGGCCCCTCAGCCCCATGCACTCGGGCAGAATTTCATGGCAGCAGGAATGTGTAGCTGGGGCTGTTTTTCACTGCTTGGTGGACAGGAAGCAGAGAGAGGTGTAAACCAGAAGGAACCACAGCAGCTAGAGGCATGTACTAATCTTCTAAGATGCTTATAAATCCAATCAAGATGACCCATCCCAGACAGTACTCAGAATTAAAGGGAAACTCTGACACATGGAGCGTGGTGCATGAACCCGGAGGACATCACGCTGAGTGACGTGAGCCAGTCATCACACAGAAAACAGCCGAGCAAGATGGCACACAGCTGTGATCCCAGCACTTGGTGACAGAGGCAGGAGGAGCAGGAATCCAAGGTCATCCTCAGCTACAGAGCAAGCTCAAAGCTAGCCTGGGAAGCATGGGACCCTGTCTCAAATAAACAAAACAAAAGAAAAGAAAAAAGACAAGTGTTGTAGGCTTCTACTCACACAAGGTCCCTACAGGAGTCAAAGACAGACAGGAAATAGAACGATGGGGTTGGACTGGGGCAGGGTAAGGGATGAGAGCCAGGGGCGGGAGTCAATGTTTAACGGGAGTTTCCATCTGGGAAGATGGGAGGTAAGTAAAGGTTAGTATTATGGCTATGTTTACTGCCACCAATTCATCTGCTTAAAATGAACTATAATAACAAACTGTGATGTGAACTGCACTTTGCCTCAATTAAAAATAAAAATAGGGAACTAGAAAAAAATGGCTCCTTGGGTAAACCACTTGCCAAACGAGCCATCGGGACCTCAGTTCAAATCCCCACTGCTGGACACAATAGCACAGATCTGTAATAGCTCAGCACTCCCACAGCGAGACGAGAGACTGAAACAGAAGAATTCCTGGGAGCTCACAGACCAGCTAGCCTGGCATATACAACAGTGAACCTGTCTCAAGGTGGAAGAAGAGGGCAGGCACCCTATGGTTGTCTCAGACCACATGCACGCTGTAGCATGCTCACATCCCCATTCACACCGAAATGCATATGCGCCTGCACATACACATAAGCACACACACACACATGTGCAAAACACACACAAAAAAAATCATATGCACAATCTATTTATTAAACAAATAAATAAAGGAAAAACAAAAAAGGCAATGTGGGGATGTGGAAGTGTGTACTGATGTCTGGCTGGCTCTTGGGGAGTACACAGGCATTGCTGCCTCATTCTAAGGAGCCTCTGTCCCTTGAGGGTCCCAGAAGATAAAAAGAATGGCGCTATGGGCCGGGCGGTGGTGGCGCACGCCTTTAATCCTAGCACTTGGGAGGCAGAGGCAGGCGGATCTCTGTGAGTTCGAGGCCAGCCTGGTCTACAGAGCGAGATCCAGGAAAGGCGCAAAGCTACACAGAGAAACCCTGCCTTGGAAAACCAAAAAAGAAAAGAAAAAAAAAGAATGGCACTATGGGCAGGCATCACTGGGATGCTGGAGTGTGGAGAATCTGAAGATGGGACAGTGTGGCCTTCTGGATGGTCAAGGGGACTGTCCAATGGCAGGTGTCACCTCTAAGGACTCTTCTTCACTAGTTTCAAGGATGCATATGAACTTCAGATGGCACACAGGTGTTGGGGAGTTCTGGACTGGGGGGCAAGAGCTATGGGGATCCCCAAAGACTGTGGTTTTCTCCTAGAATCAGGCAGAGATTCCCAACAGCACTCATATCAGACATAAACTCTCAGCTACTGCTCCAGCACCATGCCTAACTGCCTGCTGCCATGCTCCCCGCCATGATGGCCATGGAATCTACTAACTCACTGATACCATGAGCCCCCTAATTAGATGCCTTCTTTTATAAGTTACCTTGGCCATGGTGTTTTGTCATGCCAATATAAAGGTAACTAAGATACCCACTCCAACAGGACCTAGCAATGGATGTGCTCTGCTGTGTCCTTGTACCCAGCACATTCCTCCTCATCCTGGGCCTTAGCAGGAGGCAGGCTCCAGAGCCGAGACAGTCTGGGACCCCCATCCCAAGAACAGGAGAAGGCTCAGGTGGTGTCTACACCTCTGGATAGACCCTGGCCTTTCTGCTTGACTGCAGCACATCACTGGAGGCACTGAAGAGTCTGCTGTCCACCACGGGACACTGGCATGACTTTGCTCACCTGGAACTGCAGAGTGCCTGGGAACACTTCACCTCCATCCACACCTACCCACAGGCCGTGGGCCTCCTTGCCAGGTACTAGTGGGGCAAGGGAAGGGGAGGCCGGGCGCATGAACCACAGTGGATCACTTGAGGCCACCCAGAGCAGCGTAAAGGCAGCATCTCCTGGGTCTACACATGTGTTTACAGCACCCTAGAGCACGAGAGGCATGTGCCACACTCCCAGGTGCATGCACTCAGAGTGTGCAGGTGCAAAATCTTCCCCCAGTCCCACTCTGTCCTGGGAACCTTAGGAACAAGGACATCCGTTCCTCCTCTTCCTTCCCCATGCATAGCCCAGGCCTAGCACATGGGTGAACACACAGAGACACATGCCTACTCCATCACATTGGGATGTACCTGGCTGCCCAGCCTGGCCAGCCTGGGAGGTGGTAGAAGGTATATTCTTGGGCAGTGACCACAAAACCAGGCCCTGCCCCCAGGGCCATGGTGCAGAATCACTGCAAAGAGATCAAGGCCATTGTCAGCTACCTGTTGCCTAGCCTGCAGAGCCAGCAGGAGCGAGAAAGGAAGACAGCCATCTTGGTCCTCATTGAGGTAGGACAGGGAGGAAGGAGGGGGCAGTGGGCCCCAGGTAGCCTATGTCCCACCCTCCAGCCTCCTTAACACAAGACAGTATGCCCACCTGACTCACCCTGTGGGGACAGCTGCCCAGACTGACCTCTTCCAGGTCTTCAGGGGCCTCCACCTCTCAGGACCTTCAGCCTATAGCCTTGGGGGGGCCTGTCTCTTCACCTTGCCCTGCCCACATGACCCAAGCAGAGTTGAGGAGCCCTGGGTATGGACTCCACAGATCAGACTCCGATGTGGCATTGCTCTGCTCACATGTAACTCTGGGTCCCCATCCACTCCTACCCGAGAACCTTGAGCTACAGGGTAATGGTTCGACAAGGGCTGGGATGTGGCCACTTCACCACTGTGGGTTCTGGCAGAGGTGGAGCCTTGAAGGAGGGGTCACTTTCCATAACTGGTACCAGCTACCAGGTCTCTAAGCTGAAATGGGGACCTTATGCCTCTTCCCACTCCACTGGAAGGATTTGTGAGCTGCTGTTCCTGGGGGCCTATTTCCACATGTCCCATGCACCTTCCATAGGCGCAAGTTGGCTCCGGGTTGGCTAAATAACTGTTCTAGACCTCAGTTTCACCAGTCATACGTAGAAGGGTTTGACCACTGAGAAGTTTCAAATGCTTGTCAACCCTGGTACCCTGAGGATGCTGGACAGCCACCCTCCCCTAATCCCTGGACAGACCCTATCCCCAAAGCCCGCAACAGAGACACAGGCTGCCCAGGAGAGGGCGCCAAGCCTGAGTCACTGTTTTCTCATGCCCCCAGTTCCTCTATAGCCCTGCCCTGTTGGAGGTGCTTTCTAAACAGGCCGCCCTGACTGTCCTGGCTCAAAGCCTCCAGGACACCTGCTCTGAGATCCGTGTGGCCAGCCTGCAGGGCCTTGGAAACATCCTCTTCCACACGGAGAAGGTGAGTGCCAGAGGGCCATGTAGCCCCACGCATCAGAGGCAGGCAAGGTCCTGTGGGTTGGAACCCTAGCTCTGTCACCTGGGACACTGACTTCTCCCCCTCTGGGCCTCAGCTTCCTCGTCTGAAAAAAAATGGACGTATTTTAGGCAAGGACACTCGTGTTCCCCAAGAACATGTCTCCTTACCTTGAGAAGGGACGGACCTTCCTGCACAACCCCAGAGGCCCACTGAAGAGCCAGGCAGAAAGCACCCTTCACCCGGCACAGAGAGAGCACCCCTTGAGAATCATGTGCCCCTTGCCCCCCAATTCTCCATTCCCAACTAAGTCCCCTACGCAAACCGCCATCACAAACCACATCCCATACGGACAGCTTATGGTGAGAAAGACTGTGTCGCTGCTTTGGGGGGACCTGCCCTTCCCTTGTCCCACCCCCTGCCCGCAGCTCAGGCCCTAGGGCTCCTGACCTCATTCTCACTGCGGGTACCCTGTAGTGAGCAAGGGCTGCGGCCCTGAGACACCCCTTCCCAGACTCTAGTGAGAAGGTCTTCAGTACTCAGCAGGCATACCATGCTGTACCTGCCTGGTTTCCCCCTTAGCTCCTCCATCAGAACCCCATCCTACCAGACTAGACCCCAGGTCCCCAGCACACTGACTCCATCCAAGGTGCCCAGGTCTGCACTGCCCTCCAATAACTCTTTGAAGGTGAATTTAATATTTCAAACCAAACAGGGCTTAGGAGACAAAGTTGGCTTAAAATCTGTTTGGAAGGCGGGAGGAAAGCCACTCTGATAAAAAAAAAAAAAAAAAAAAAGGCCCCAAGGTGGGAGTAGGCTGTTGTTTTCTGACCATCCATCTAGAGATCAGGACACACAGCCAACCATTGGGGCAGGCAGAATGGGCTGGAAAAACAAACAGCAAAGGCATAAAATCGGCCCACAATGGTCCCTTGCCACATGGAAGTTCTGAAGACCCACCTCAGTAAACCTCAGCAACCTGAGCATCCTTTCCTTATCTGGCTGATCCCACCTGACCTGAAGGGAGCCAGACATGGGAGTGAAGCCCAGGTGGGGGGCTCAGAGGAAGGAAAAGAGTGGTCCCAGGCCTGGGAGTGATAAGGATCTGGGACCCAGGGACAAGGCAGCAGCAGGGTTCAAGTCGGGTACCCCAAGTGAAGCCAAGTGAGGGGGGCAAACCTGTGCCTTCCACCCACCACCCACTACCTTCCCCACAGGGAACCCTGCTCAGAGGTCAACTGCCAGCCTTCCTCAATGGCTTCTTCCAGAACAACGAGGCAGTGGTTGTAGGCATTATGGGCTTGGTATCGGATATACTGCACCGCCTGGGTACAGAGGGCGCAGGCGCCCAGAGTCTCAGTATCGCAATCAACGCCCGCTACTTCTTTGATGACGTGAGCATAAAAACAGGCGGGGGGGGGGACCGAACCTGTGGGCCAAGCTGTGAGCCCACAGGTGCACCAGATCTGGCCAGGTGTCCACCAGGTAGTGCTCCACTCCTCCTCATGGCTGAAGTGCCAAGTCTCACTTGTCCAACCCCTCTTGTGTCCCCGGCCTACTACAGACCACTCAGGCAGGTCCCAGTGTCCAAAATGACTCCTCCAGCCCCCTTCACTAGGAAATGGGGAATAAGTCACCCAGCTGCCCTCATGGTCCTGGCTGCCAGGGTATCAGTGGGCACTAGAGGACAGGGTGGTGATTCTGTGTGAGGATGACCTGAGACCTGGCCTTAGAGAAAGCCTGACCCTCCTCTAAATCGAAGGGAGGAGGAACAACCTTACCCTGGGTCCCTGAGCCTGACTGAGGAAGTCCAAGGACGTAGGGGTTCCAAGCTGGGGAGCTCTGGCACCTCACTGCGTCTCTGCCTCGAAGGAGCGGGACAATATTCGAGCAGCAGCCATGGCACTGTTTGGGGACCTGGTGGCGACGATGACCAACAGAGAGCTGAGTGGCTTGCGGTCCCAGGTGTGCCAGAGCATGGTACCTCTGCTCCTCTACCTGAAGGACCAGTGCCCAGCCGTTGTCACAGTCAGTACCCACCCGCAAGCCTTTCATCTTGGTCAAGGGCCAAGGCCGGCAGGGCGGGTGGCCTGAGGGTGGAAGAGAGGGCAGTGGCAGAAGATCTGGCTATCTGCAGGGCCCTCCAGATCCCAGTCCCTGCCCATGTACTCCCCACATTCACTCTGGCCAGCCCGACCTGTGGGTCCACTGCCTACAGCAGAGCATGGTGGGACACGGGCACACCGTGTACCCACCGATACGCAGACAGAGCCCTCCTTACCATGCTCCACTCTCTGGACTCCCTATCATCTGAGGAGGAGGAGATGATAGCAGCCAACTCCCCCAGCAAGCTCAGACAGAGCTAAGTACCTACCTACCTACCCACCCACCTTCCACGGGGCACTGAGACCCTAGGTTGGAGCAGCTTCGCCGACACCAGCACAGCGGGCTGCTGAGGTGCCCACTGCAGCTGTGGTCTCGGGGGACTGGAAAGCCCAGGCTCAGACACACATGGGCAGTGAGTGACCCTTCCTGTGGCTGTCTCCACAGCAGGCCAAGTTCGCTTTCTACCGCTGTGCCGTACTGCTCCGCTGGCAGCCGCGGCACACCCTGTTCTGCACACTGGCCTGGGAGACTGGCCTCAGTGCCCGCCACTTCCTCTGGACCTGCCTGGTGAGGGGCCAGGGGTCAGGGGTCAACAGTAGGGACCTGAGATAGCTGCACTCCCCCCACCCCCACGGACTCTCCTTCCCAGGAAAGTGAGGCTGGCAGGGGTAGAAATCGATAGTCCCTGGGGTCCCTGGCAGTGACAGGTGGGCTCTCCTCTGGCCAGATGACCCACAGCGAGAAGGAGTTCAGCATCCACTTGTCCCAGGCCATCAACTACCTGCACAGCCATCACCGCCACATCAAGACCTGGGCAGCTCTGTTTATAGGTGAGCAGCATGGGCCAGGCTCAGAGTCCTCACTAACCCTGCCCACCCACCACCGCAGAGAGAAGGGGGGTTGGAGTAGGTTGGGGTGGGAGAGAGGGTGTGGTGCTAAGGAGTCAGGGGCTTCCGGAAGCTCCTGGAGGCTGGGCCAGAGCAGCCCCCATCCAGCAGCCATGGCTCTCCATCTTGCACAGGGTACACTACCTGCTACCAACCCCAGGCCGTGACACAGATGGTGAACGACATGGACACCAAGCTGCTGTTCTCCAGTGAGCAGCCCACACCCTGGGCCTGTGCCCACACCCCCCAGCTCCGGGCAGCATGCCTCCCTCAGGCGGTGGCAAAGACAAGGACCCAGGCCTCCCTCGCGGACCCCCACCTCACCGGGGCACTCCATGCTAGCCAATGGACGGAAAGGGCCCCCGTAGCCTCCTGCCCAGATGGAACTGGAGTTGTCGGGGTGGAGGTTGGCTCCCTTCCAGGATGGGCTCACCTTTGACTTGTCCTTTCTCTCCTGAAGCTTTTAAAGATCTCAAAAAAGACCCAGAACCTGCCATCCGGGAATTTGCCACCAGACAGATGGAGTTCCTTCGGAAGGTGTCAGCCAGATCCAAGAAGTGACTTCGAGCCACCCTCCCCCATCTCTACCCCCAGAACAGCCCTGCCCCAACCCTGTCCACAGAGCTTGCTTGTGTAGCATTTTTCCATTTGAAAGAAAAACCTAGATTCAAGACACAAAAAAAAAGTGTAATGGCTGCCGGCTTCCTGCCCGCCACCTGAGGACCCTCTGCTGTGGCCAAGCCAAGCCCTCCAAGATAATGACAAGACTCAGGGACACAGACAGGGACAGACAAGGAGGGACGGGGCAGAGACAAAACTGGAAGGTCTGTGATAGACTCTGCAACTAACTGCTCAGGAATGGGATCAACTCCACACGACCTGAACCCAGGCCATAGTGCCCACAGCTGAGCAGACCATTCTCTGGGAGTGGGGCCTAAGGGGAAAGTCCCCAGTGTCCCCAGCTGAGAGCTCTTACAGGGGATGTGGAGCAGGTGGAAGTGAAGGGCATTCCAGCAGGCTTCTCTATTGCAGGCCAGGGTCTTCCTCCAGCAGGGCCAGCCTGCTCCAGACAGGTATCTAGCCCCAGCTGTAACCCTCCCCCGAGATTTGCAAGAGTCCAAAAGTGGGTGCCTGACCCCCTGAGAGGATCCCCCAATCCCTTCTCAGGCAGAGCCCTCCCCACTCAGCCTCTATTTAAGAAATGGCAGACAGGCCCTGTGGGTACAGAGCTTAGGTCATAACAGATAATAACAGAGTCACGGCCTGTTACTCTCAGGACCCATTCAATCGGCCAGCTCCCCCAAGGGACCCTCTACCTAGGCCTCCAGCCCTGGGCTCTGTGCCTACCACCCAAAAGCCTCCATACCACATCCCCCAGGCCTTACGGAGTCTGTGTTAGGTAGACCCCGCACGCCCTCACCTGGGTGGATCCCGTTTGCCCATCTCTCCCAGCCCCCGGACTATGTGCCTCCTGGGGCAAAGGACATTGTGCTGAAAACTTGGAGGGCAGACTGAAGAAAAGAAAACAAAAAAAAAACAGCGACTTTGTGCAAATATACCACAGGGGTAGTGAGTTTCCAGCACACACAAGATCACCACTACTGAGTGTGGGGAAGGAACACCCCCAAAAGGCTGCACCTTGCCACGAGGCCTGCCTTACTGGGATGGCTGGGGTGCAAAGCCGGCCCTTTTGGTTTCTGGGACCTAGTCCCGAGCTAGGTAGGGTGGGAGGCCACTGGGCAGACATGTGGAGCTTGAAGAGGGAAGGATCCAAGTGCAGGAGGAAGGTGCCCTGGGTCTGTTATAGACGACACAGAGGGACAGGCCTGTAAGGCCTGAGGATCACATCCATCCGTGGAGTCGGTGCCATAGGACAGACGGCACATCCACACGGACGTGGACAGCCAGCCCTGCCCCTCGTCCCCTTTCCTCAGCTAAGGGAAGAGCCAGGCCACTGCTCAGAACGTGTGAGCAGGGAGACGAGGTGCTACACAGGTACCCAGCCTTCCCACACTCTCAGATCTAATGTACCCCACACCACTCTGCTGCCCTATCCTCCTCCTCCTCCTCCTCCTCCTCCTCCTCCTCCTCCTCCCCCTCCTCCTCTTCCTCCTCCTCCTCCTCTAGGCAGTAGGGGTCATTTCCTAGGCCAGCGGCCACTGAGGCCAAATCTCACAGGTTGCATGGGTATGGGGGAGTGGAGCCCACTGAAAGTTCCAAGTGGATCCCATTCCGTCCTGCAGAGGTGACTCAGCCTCACCTTCTGGCCTTCCAACCCTCAAACTGTCACCAGTCCAAGCTCCCTCAACGGAACCAAGTGATGTGTCAAGAACTTGGAGAAACGAGGCAGGGTGCAGAGCACGGCATGGCCACCAGAGGGTGCCAGGGAGGCACACAGCAGCAACACTACATAGGGCAGCAGAGATGGGAACCATGGCCTCCCAGGATCCAGACCCCATTCCCCCGGGCTCCGCACCACTCCTCACACACATCCACAGCTCCTGATTTATTGCCTTGAGAGTCCAGAGCACCTGAAGGCCCAGGATCTGGTCACAAAGGTGCCGAAAACAGGTCAGGCATTGGGCCCAGTGGTTAAAAACACCCACCTGCCGTCCACGGGCCAAGGTGGAGGCCTGGGCAGGGGGTGAAAGGGGCTGGACGGAACTGGTGGAAGGTCCAGGGACAGCCTCAGAAAGACAGCCATGGGCACAGACAGGGACAGAGCAGGAACACACACGGCCAATGGACTCCTTCAACACAGGTGCCCGAGGCACAGGAGTAAAGGGTGTACAGGGCCAGGGCCTGAGCTACATGACACAACATCTGGTCTTGTGCGTGTGGGGGTCTTTGAACCGCAGTCTCTGCTTAGGCCGGTACTTCTCCAGGTAGGTCAGCTGCTTACTGTTGATGGCCCCACGGCGCTTCCTGCAGACGGGAACAGGCAGAGGGTCATAAAGCCTGGCTTGGACACCTTGCTTTTTCCCCCAGGAAACTCCAGGCCCTGTGTAATACTCCAGTGGGACTGGAGTGGATAGACCCACAGGATGTAGGCTAAGCTGGGGCTCTGGGGGAGAGGCTGGGAGGCCGAGGCTTAGTGAAGGTCCGGGATTACATCTCACCCTAGCTAGCCAGCACCACCTCAGTGCTGTGCCAAGGTACAGAGAACTGTGTGTGTTTGGCATAGGTCTTTAGGTCGCACATCCGTCTGCATAGCCCAGGCTCCCCTAAGGACACCTGCTACAGCCATACAGGGCCTGCCCCCGAGAGAAAGAGATGGCTGTACCTATTTCAGGCAGCACAAAGGTGTCCACATATCCACAGCGGATATGTCACACACACTCACACACACACACACACACACACACACACACACACACACACACACACGCCACATCCACTGTGCAGTCCTTGCCCAAAAGATCAGAAAGATGGGGGTCCTCGAGGAAGGCTACCATACCACAAAGAGGAGGTAATGACTTGGGAGCAGCCAGGGAGGGCAGAGGAGTGGGTGGGGGGGGGGGATTCTTCACAAGGAACAGCTACAGAAGTGAGAGGTGAGGGGCAAGGAGAGGCCATGGTGACAGCCTAAGCCCCACTCAGCTTGCCAAGATCCACCAGAGATCCCTAAGGGCCACCCACACACGCTGGCTACTCACTGTCGGATGAACTGGATAGCATCCTCATACTTCATCCCGCTCTCGATAAGGGCAAGAGCCACGAGCACTGGAGCCCTGCGGGAACAAGCAGAGCTGAGGGGATCTGAGACCCCCACACCCCATCTCGTCCCTGCCTCAGGCCACCTGACCAAGACGGGCGCATGAGGGCCTGATGACCCCACCCCACCCCCGGATTCCTTCAGCTTGCCCACAGAAGATACAGACTCCAGACAGCCCAACCATCTTCTCTAGCCTGGCTCCTCCTGCCCCTCCTGTGCAGCCTAGGGAGATGCAGACAACCTCTCTGTGCCTAAGCTCCTAGAAAAAGAGCTATAAGCATACCGGCTATTGAGCCTGCCCTCCAGCCCCCCTGCCATAGGGGCATCGGGGGTGCTCCCCTGCCTGGCTCATTTCCATCTAGTGCGGGCAGCTGTTCCTCCTCAAACAGAGGTCAGGCCTGGGTGACCAGCATGTCTTTGTGGGAGCTCTTTTTCTGCATGAGGTGCAGTGACTGGGTCGTAGCAGGAGGCCCTCCCTGCCAGGCTGTGAAAGGACTTGCCTGGGAACCCTGGGGCCTTAGAAAGGTCGAGTGGATTTGGCCCACATCCAAACTCACAAAACAATAAAGTCAGACCACAGAAGCCAAAGCTGAGCTCCCAACAGCAATGGGGCCACGAGCGCCACCCACCATCACTCACCTTCCCAAGCCGGCCACACAGTGCACAGCCACGCAGCTGCCCGGGTCATTGTAGAATTTGGCCTTCAGCAGGCTCAGCCAGTCCTCCACCACTTTGCCAGGAGGGGGCGCCCCGTCATCAAAGGGCCAGTCCTATAGAGGAATCCGCTTAAGGACTTGCCCTACGGATGTTAGCTTTCCTTCCCGTCCCTCAGAGTTCTATGTGGGGGGTGGGGGGGAGCCGGCCCCGCATGGAGAAGGCTCCAGCCAAGGGTATGCTAGGGCACAGTGTGGAGAAGACAGAGGTGAGACCTATCTATCGGTCCAGATTTGGACCCATTGGTACCAGGGTGAACCAGCATGGGTCTGCAGGAGCTAGCTGATGGAGGGCGGCTCTTGAGACCTCTCTACCTCTCTGTCTCCAAATAGGGCAGCTCCTGGAGGCCACCAGTTTATGTGGCTGTCCTGAGTCCCAAGTCTCTCCTGAGAAAGGGAGATCGGCTGGGGCAGCCTCGTACTGAGATGCTGACGCGCCTCTGTCTCATACTCACACTCCCCTCAACACCCACACTATGGGAGGCCCTTGAGGCTCACAGCAGGGAAGGGTCAACGGAAAGAGTCCTCCCAGGCCCATGCAACCCCAACCTCCTCCTCCCTTCTACAAACTACCAGGCAGTGGATATGAGACCCCAGCAACACAGGATCCTCACAGCGGAGTAACCCAGGGTCACTCTGGTGCTGAGCACAGGACACCAGGGCCTCAGCCTAGTCGGTCAGGGTCTGCTGCACGCGCCGGGCTCATCCAGGCTCCGCACTGGGAAGGGAGGCCTTGTGCCAAGGAACTGGCTCTGCTCTGGCCCTCCAAGCACCATGACCAGTTCTGCAAGGCTGCCCCTCCTCCACCTAGCTGAGCCCCCAGGGTCAAGAAGGCAAGGAAACAGCAGCTAGGATCCCTACCCACGGCCTCTGCACAGGGTCTCCTGGGACCCACTGCTGCCAGGAGACAGGCTCCCACATGGCAGGCGATGAGAGGCTGAAGAGAGAGGCCCCTGGGAGCCGTCGGCGAGCCCGGCAGGCACCTGCTGAGCCCCACCGCATCTGTACAAGAGGGTCTCCATCTTCTCCAGCCAGGGTTGACAGGGCTCAAGCCCCAGTCCATAGTGCCAAATACACCCAGCAGGTAGGGAGGCAGCACAATCAGGGGAATGCCACTCCCCCACGTGAGCCCTCCCACTTCTTTCTTTTTTTTTTAAGGTTTATTTATTTATTATGTACACAGAAGAGGGTGCCAGATCTCATTACAGATGGTTGTGAGCCACCACGCGGGTGCTAGGAATTGAACCCGGGTCCTCTGGAAGAATAGTCGGTGCTCTTAACCTCTGAGCCATCTCTCCAGCCCCGAGCCCTCCCACTTCTAGCTGTGGTCTCAGAGAATGTATGACTCTAAGACTTCACTGCTCCAAAAAGGAACCACACAGGCTACAGGCTGCCAATGGCTACAGAGCACCTAATAGGAACCACAGGCCCCAACACCAGACAAGCCAAGTATTGGGAAGCTATGGTCAAGAGCACCGCGTCTGGGGCTGGAGAGATGGCTCAGTGGTTAAGAGCACTGACTGCTCTTCCAGAGGATCAGGGTTCAAGTCCCAGCACCCACACGGCAGCTCACAACTGTCTGTAATCCCAGTTCCAGAGGACCCAACACCCATGGCAAAAAACACCAATGCACATAAAATAAAAATAAGTAAATAAAAAAAAAAAAAAAAAAAAAAAGAGCACCAAGTACGTGCAACCTGACCTCGGGGGCTAGTCTGGGAAGGTAGGTGCAGTGGAGACGACTTTCTCACGGTCACCTGTCCCACACACCAGCCCAAGGCACAGATAGCCCAGGATGCATCTGGCGGGGAGTGGGGGGGGGCCGCAGCAGAGGGCCCAGCCTCACAGCGAAGAGCCCCAAATCTACACTCCAGACATCGCTTTGGGCAGTCACGGTGCCCAGAGCCACATGCCCCTCACCACAACAGTGATGCCGTCCTTCTCCAGAGGGGTCTTGTCATAGGTCACTTCACACACACGCACCACGGTGGTAGCCCCATACTTCTTCAGGTCCTGGGGTAGAAAGAGAGAGAGACGGAGTGGTTCAGAATCCAAGAGCTGGCCTCAGCCTGGAGCTCTGCACCATGCCGAGTCCCCAAAGGCCTGCCCCTCTGGAGCTCCTAAGCAGAACTGTGTCCCCTCAAGCTCCCTCCCCTGAGACAAGCACACTTCATAAACCAGCGGGAGGGCTCGGATGTGGAGTGGCAGGCAGGGTGGCCTCTCTGCTGGTGCTTCCGGGCCACCTGCCCCTGTCCTACCTGGAGAAGCTAAGGAGCCCATCTGTGTTCACTAAAACGCACAGCTCAACCACTGTGATCTCAGCCCTGTCCTGACATTCACGCTGCTGCAGCACCCAGGACAAAGGGTCCCAGCAGCAAGTCCTTGCTCTCCAGATAAAGCCACTCCAGAAGGGTGGCCCAGGCCTCAGACAGCCTCCTTACATCTGCACTGCCCTCCATTCCTGGGCTGCATGAGTGGGCTCCACAAAGGCCCTTTGGAGTCTCCAGCAAGCAGACCTCACTCAGGGGTTGGAGACAGAGGCAGCAGGGTGGCACCCAACACCACTGGGGAAAGCCCCATCCTTCAGAGGAAAGTTCACT